TAGCAGATCCCTTGTAGACTTCCTGATTACCTCCAAGAGAGAGCCACAGTTGGTGGTACAGTGTTCAGGGGTTTTGAAGCCATGAATTCATTCCCAAACTCTTTATTCAGCAACTAGTATGTGTCAGGCATCGTACTAGGTGCTGGAGATACAAAGTGAGAAAAACTGCCCAAACTCCTACCTCTGTGTTCTGCTGTTCTGCTGGAGGGGGGGGGGGGGGGGGGGGCAGACAGCAAACGAATAGGAAATGCATATGTTCCTGTAGGTGGAATGGGTGCTTTGGAGAGAAATGTATCAAGCTAAGAGTGATGGATTGAGAAGGGACTTTTGAACAAAGACCTGAAAGAGATGAGGAAGGTTCCTTGGGGAAGAATCTTCCAGCCAGAGGGAACAGGCAGTGCAATGGCCCTGAGGTAGGAATGTGTCTGAGGAGCAGCAAGGAGGCCAGAGATACGAGGTAGAAAGTGGGGGACTGAGGTTAGAGAGGTGATGGGGCCAGCTTATGTATGGCATTGTGGGTCCTTGTAGGGTCTTTGTCTTCTCTGAGTGAGGGGGGTGCCATAGGGAGGTTCTGAGCAGAGGAGGGACAAGGTATGGCTTAGTTCCCACAGGACCCCTCTGGCTGTCTGTGGAGAATGGACTGTGGGCGGGGAGAGTGGAGGTGGGAGTCCAGAGGGGAGTTGACCTCAGTGATCCAGGGAGGAGATGGCTGGACTACGTTGGTAGCCGTGGTGGGGGATGCATTTTATGAGAACTGCCTCTTCACACCATTAGCCCGTTTTCAATTGGGTAGTTGTTTTCCTATTATTTGCCAAGGTTTTCTGTATTATCCTGGATATTTGTGTCATCTCTTTGGTTCTCGTCTGACTCTGATGTTAGGAAATGGGCCCTCCATCTGCCAGGGATCTGGCACTGTCACCGTCTTGCTGAGAAGGCACAGGAAATCAGAGGTCTCTGCACTGTGGTCTTCCCTGCCCAAGCTCCCATCCTCCCCTAACCACAGTGCCTACCCTCCATCCTGCCTTTTGGGCTGTGAAGTGACACCTTAGCCTAAGGCTGTTCCAGCATCTCAGCCGCAATTCAGGTCCTTTCCTGTGTGGTGAGCAACAATAGCTCAAGGAACGGAAGCCTCCTCTTTCAGGGCGAGAGACCTGCTTTCCTCCTGTCAAAGCCGCGCTTGTGTATCTGGTCCTCCAGTAGCCTTCGTGGATCTCTGTCCCTGGGAGTCCTGCCTGCATTCTGCTTTCTGCCACAATCGATTGGTGTGGCTCTAGCTCAACCTCTTAGCGTGCGACCAAGTGCGAGTTGTTTAACCTCTCGGTGCCTCCATTGTGTCATCTGCAAAATGTGACATGTGGTTGCCTCCCAGGCTTGCTGCAAAGACAGTGCGTGGGAAAACTGACAAAAACATGCATATGACTAGGTAGATAGTCATGCTTGGTAAATGTTAGCTTCTCTAATATTGTAGTGATTTATTTTTATTCCAGTTCCTGAACTTATTAGTGTAACTTCTTGAGAAGAGACTTAAGTTCTCTGTCCCTGAGTTTCCTCCTTTATCAGATAGATAGTGCCTTGGTCATGGGTTATTGTGAAGATTAAATGAAATAATACATGCAAAGTGCTCCTAAGTGCTTATTAAGTATTAGCTATTTTTTTATTGTCTCAACGTTCATTTTGCCCAATAGTCATAGAACTATAGTAGTTTTTAAAATTAGCATTTTCATGACATATTTTGTTTTATCCTTTTACTATCAACCATTCTCTATCCTTAGGGTTTAGGTACTTCTTTTATAAACTACACAAAGTTAGAATTTAAAAATCTGTCAATCCCTATCTTCTAACTGGAGAGTTTAGCCCAGTTACATTTATTTTACTTATTGATACATTTGAATTTATTTCTACCATTTTTTTTTCTATTTTTGTTTTCTTCACCCTTTCTCGCTTAAGTTTGCATAATTTTAGTTTTGTTTTTTGTTGTTTTTTTGTTTAGTTACTCTTTTTCTTTTTATTCCTTTTCATTTTACTTCTGTATTGGAATTTATAGCTACTGCCACCACCATCCTGTATAAGAAAGTGAGTAGATTAGATAGAACTCAGTGGGATGGTGACTGTGGCCAACTGCAGAGCACCTGTCCTGTGTAAGGAGTGGCTGCCAGTCAGGCCAATTGTTAGTGGTAGGTGGAAACACAGGCCCGGAGTGGCCAGCACTTCTGCTTTGCTGAGAGAGGCTGGCAATAGCATTTGGCCTGCGGGGCCTGGTTTATGTCCTGGGCTTTGCTCCAGTCCTGCACTGCAGAGCGAGGAGACTGAGGCTCAGAAACGGGAGGTGACTTACCTAAGGTCACACATACAGTATGTCCTGGTTGAAGCCAGAACTTGGACTCCCAGTCCTGAGCCCTCAACCACTGTATGCCCCTCCCTCTCTCAGTGGAAGGATGGCGTTTTTAAGACTCATGTGCATTATTTCGTTCCTCCACTTATTCATAATCTGCGGGGCCTCAGTTCTCCCAGCCTTGAAGCACGGGCTGAAATGGTTAAAATCAGAAATGTTTTTGCATGAAATTTCCATAGAGTTTGCAGGCCTGGAGGTTTTCTTTGCTGTGCTGGACAGCTTTTCACTTCTGGGTTTTCTTGGACTTCCAGATGTTTTTTCTTCTTCTTTTCTTTTTTTCTTTAAGTGGTGTTGGGTCTTGTCAGGCCTCTTCATTTGAATCTTGCTGTCATCCTAGATGTCACATCTGAGGGGACCCCAGAACTGCAAGTGCAGGGAAGTGTTGGGTAGAGGTGACAGCTCCGCCTCTGGGGCTTGGACAGAGCCTGCAGCTGGCTGGAGTGTCTTCAGAGAGTGGGTGTCCTCTGGTGGTCCGGCCGCCATGGGTGACACCCTCCACTCCCACGGGCCACCTTTTTCTCATTGTGGAGAGGACAGCATGGCTTCCCAACTGCCTTGTCTCCTGGGCCTCCACCACGCCCACGTCAGAGCGAGTGCTGGAGACTGCCACTTCTTCCAGTGACAGATCCAGCTTTGCTTTTACCCTGTGGTTTCCTGGATCTGTCTTCTTATGCTGGTCTGGAGTTTGAGGCCTCTGTCCCAGGCGGACCCCACACCTCAGGCCCAAAGGGGCTGCCCCCACACACAGCCAGTGGCTCCCTTTTGGTAAAAGCGTGGTTGGAGGGGAGCGAGGGGGCATGAGGGGCCTTTCAGAAACGCCGGGTTCCTGTAGTCTGACATCCTCTCTTCTAGGAAGTGCTCACCTCAGGCCTGCTTGTGAAACCACACGGGCTCACAGGCGGATGTTGGGCAAGGCCATCAGCCTGGCTCTGGAGGGGCTGGCGTTGTCATTGTGCAGGGTGGCCCAGGGCAAACCCCTGCCCCCCTTCCTTCTCTGTCCTCGGTGAGTCTAGGTATTCCCCGGGCTCTGCCCCTGCTCAGATGTTTTGTGTTCAGAGAGCCTAGTTGTGGGGAGAGTCATGTCTAGGTCACATGACTAAAGAAACATGTTTGCTGGTATGGCTGGAGGAGTGATTCACTTGGGAAGACTTCCCTGATAGCTTCAGGCCTGGCTAGTCCCTTCCTCCTCAGTTCCTCTCTCATCACACTTAGGAGACGACGGAAGCCCTTGGATAAGACTGGCCTGACCTGGAGAATGTCCTTGCCTGTGCTTGTGGTGGGGGAAGTTCAGGGGTTAAAGGTCTACTCTGACTAGCCTCCTTACACCCTCCGCCATGTCCCTGTGAAGGCAAGGTGTGTTTTATTTTTACTTAGAGTTGACATTTAATGTGACTTTATGTCAGTTCCATGTATACAGGATAGTGGTTAGACATTTACGTAATTTACGAAGTGATCCCCCCGATAAGTCTACTACCCGCCTGACACCGTGCATAGTTATCACAATGCTATTGACTATATTCACTATGACACATTTTGCATCCCTGTGACTATTTTGTGGTTACCAGTTTGTACTTCTTAATTCCTTCACCTTTCTCACTCAGCCCCCCAGGGCAAAGCATTATCGATACCCATTTTACAGATGAGAAAATGGCTGGGCCAGGGCCATATCCGCGACCACCTTTCTCTGCCCAGTCCTGCCCAGTCCTGTCCTGTCCTGTCCTCTCTCTCTCTCTCCTCTCTCTCATTTATCCTGCTCCAGCCACACCACCTCCTCACGGTTCTTTGTTACCTGCCGCATGTGCTCCCACTTCAGACCCCTTGCATATGCTGTTCCCTCTACCAGGCACACTTTACCCACAGATTTTTTCAGGACTCTCTCCCTTGCTTCTCTGGTCTCTATTCACATGTCACCTCCACACAAGGGTCTTCCTGACCCCTCTATTTGAGAGAACACCTTTTTTTCCTATGACTCTCTAGCTCCCTCATTCTGATTTGTCTTCATAGTATTTATCACTGCCCGACAATGAATTATATACTCGATTTTTCATTATTTTATCTGATCTTTTATAGAACATAATACCCACCAGGTGAAGAAGTTTTCTCTTGTTTTATTAATAAATTTGTCCCCAGATCTTAGAATACTGCCTGCTATGGAAGAGGTGCTCAAGGGACATTTATTGAATGAATGATGTTTCCCAGCCCCAGGTCATAAAGTTTTCATATAGCAGGCTGGGCGACCTTGAAGCCAGGTTTGATCCCCTCTGGGTTAATGCTTCTTATTCTTAAAAAAAAAATAAAAAATAAAAAAAAAATAAAAAAAAATATATATATATATATATATATATATATATATATATATATATTATTGATTTTTTTTTTTTTTACAGAGAAGAAGGTAGAGGGATAGAAAGCTAGAAACATCAATGAGAGAGAGACATCAATCAGCTGCCTCCTGCACACACCCCACTGGGGTTGTGCCCGCAACCAAGGTACATGCCCTTGACCGGAATCAAACCTGGGACCTCTCAGTCCGAAGGCCGACGCTCTAGCCACTGAGCCAAACCGGTTTTGGTGATGTCTCTTATTCTTGCCCTCACTTCTTCCCTAGGAGCTCGCCAAGAGGACGCCCGGAAAGCACCCGGACCACCCTGCGGTCCAGAGCGCCCTGCAGGCCATGAAGACCGTGTGTTCCAACATCAATGAGACCAAGAGGCAGATGGAGAAGCTGGAGGCGCTGGAGCAGCTGCAGTCCCACATCGAAGGCTGGGAGGTGAGTCTGGGGCAGGAGGGGCCCTCCGGGTTGCCAGGGGCACAGAGAGCGTGCAGCTGCAGCAACAGACTGGCCTGGGCACTCAATTCAGCCGGTAGCGTGTTTTGTTTAGCCTACATCATATTTGTAAAGAAGTGGTTTAATTATTTTTCAATTAAGTGCACATAAAAATGTACTCTTCAGGTGTCCTTTGAAAAACAGTAACCCTGGGCTCCCATTTTTCACAGTAGTAGCCACCAGAGCTTCCGGTTTTCCTCAGTCTCCACCATGCCCTATGACTCCCCAATCACTCTCTTTCACAAGTTGCCTTACCTGCCTGGTGCCCATAGGCCTTAGATTTTTTTTTGATATCAAGGTCTGGGGTCTACTCCAGGACAGGATTCTGGCTCTGATACTTCCTTGCTGGGTGTGACTTTAGGTCAGTGTCTTAACTTCTCTGAACTTCAGCTTCCTCATTGATACCTGGCACATAGTATAAGTCCTCAATCCATGGTAGTTATTGATGTTGCTATCATCATGATTATTAGGGGATGGGATTCTTGAGATCTTCTGACTGTGTGTAATTTATTTGTTTAAACCTCGACATCTTTCTTAGATTATTAGAGATCCTACAAATCCATAGAAGGAAATGGGAAAATCTGAGTAAATAAAAAAAAAAATATATCAGAGTAAATGCAGCTGGAAGGGGAGATTAGGAGCAAAAAAAAAAATAAAAAAAAAATCAAAGAGTCTGTGGACACAGATTATCCTCTGAATCATCTGCCTTTGGGTTTTCTGGCACTCGCTGTGTTTGGGATTTTCCGCTTCTTTTCCCTGTGTGAGGAAATCGTAAGTGTGACTCTGTATCGCTAAGGGGCTGAGGGTGTGGCTGCAGAGAGGAGCGGGATCGGTGTTCAGTGAAGATGTGGGGATTGTGGGCCCCTTGCGTGTGGAGGGATTCCTTTGCTTCAGTTTCCTCATCTGGAGTAATGCTCGCCACGTCCCCCACCCTCCTTCCCCTCGGCCGTCCCGCCTGGCCGAGACTGGAGAACAAAGAACTCAGACCCCCTTGTTGCTCGGGTTTGGAATGTGATTGGCCAAGATCAGACCCAGCTGCTTGACATTGGGAGGCAGGGGCGGATGGAGGCCACCCTTGTCCTGTCTTGCAGCAAAGCACAGCCTCGGCCATGTTTGGCTTTCTGTGGCAGCACGTGCCGAGGGCCAGGCTCCAGCTTCCCGGGTGCCGGAGGCAGGGCAGGGGCCTCTCTTGTTGTTGCTGGTGGCAGGGCAGGATGTCTTTGCAGTGGACGGTGGAGGCAGCGGCTCCTGAGGCCTGCGGTCAGGTTGGCGTTTTCCTGGAGGGTCAGCTTAGGCAGTGGCTGTCCTGATTTGCCCTTTTCCCAGGAGGGCTGAGACAGTGGCCGTGGAGGGGCCTTGTTCTCGGTTTGCTGGGAGCCCCGGCTGAAATTCCTACCCCTTGAGGCCCTCTTTGATCGAGGAAGCTCTCACTTCTTCCTGCCTAAAATACATAGCTGGGATTCTGTTTCCAACAAATGCACATCGCCTGATCATCAGGTGTGTTGGTCAGGACTTTCATTTCAGCCTTGTGATGTCAGAGCTCTGATTTGGTCTCTTTTTAAAAAAAAATATATTTTATTTATTTATTTATTTATTTATTTTTTTTTTTACAGAAAGGAAGAGAGAGAGGGATAGAGAGTTAGAAACATCGATGAGAGAGAAACATCGATGAGAGAGAAACATCGATCAGCTGCCTCTTGCATACCTCCTACTGGGGATGTGCCCACAACGAAGGTACATGCCCTTGACCGGAATCGAACCTGGGACCCTTCAGTCCACAGGCTGACGCTCTCTTTATCCACTGAGCCAAACCGGTTTCCGCTGATTTGGTCTCTTGTCATCCCATTGGCCTTCTTCTCATGGTTCCGAGGTGGCAGCAGCTTCAGGCATCCTGTGCCCAGAGCAGGAGGAAGAAGGAGCCAGGGGCAGAGCCAGGGCAGTGAGAGGGACTCCTCTCTCGGAGAGGAAAACCTTTCCCCGAAGCCCCAGAGGAATTTCCCTCTCATCTTATTGGCCAGAAGTGGGTGACGTGGCCACTTCCCACACATGTGCTCACATAGGGAGCAGCTATTGTTGACATATTCGACCGCCTGTCTCTTAGGATTTGGAGCTTCCTGGCAGCCAAAGTGAAAAGAACAGGGCATATAAGTTACTTAACGTTTATCGTCAAAAAAGGAAGATAGAGAACAGTTCTTCTGGGAGATAGATCATTTCCTGGAAACCAGCTGGAAAAGAAATGTCTCACGTGGGCCCCTGAGGAGAGGGTGTTGAGCAAGCGGTTTGGCAGCCGGAGCAGAAGTGATTTCCAGATGCCTTCTTCTGGTAAGGGCCCAGGGAAATAGGAACTAAGGGTTTTTGGGACCCCCCTGTCCCAGAAAAATGTACAGTTTGAGAATGGCCCTCATTTTGATCACTCCACTAGGAAATAAAGCCACCCAGAATAAGAATCGCTGGCAATTACTGAGCCCCTGTTATATATTTCCAACATTAGCAGGGAGGTGGTGGTGTTACTCCCATTTTACAAATAAGGAAACTGAGGCACAGGGACTTGGTTTTGAAGCTCAGCCCTAGAACCTGCCGAGTTCCTTGCCTAAGGCTAGTTTGTCCTGCTCTCTTGGTGTTATTTTCCCCTCCTTGTCTAATTTTAGTGATAATATCTCTGAAGTTCTGCTGTCATTTTGTGGATAAAGTGAAGTATGGAATACTTTGGAAAATGTGAAAGGTTTTCTTTGCAGTAGGACGGTTTTTAAATAGAGCTTCATCCTCAAGGTGACTTGTGAAAATAATACGTTTTAGCTAGAATAAATAATGTGTAACAGCGAGGCTACTCGCCGTGGCTTCATGCCGTCAGTAGTTACAGCCTCCGGGGAGAGGACTAGTTAAGGTGTCGTTCACGGTGAGTGATAGCGATGGCCAGTGCTTATTTCTGACTCTCTTCCTGACCGTTTCTGACCTTTCTGTTTGACCTGTTGCCAATCTGATTATTGGTGGTTGTTGCCTCTCTCGGAACATGTCTGACAAGGACTTGCTTTGAGGAAAGGGGGAAAGTCTTTTCTGGGCCATGCTCTTGCTGTGTGCTTGGGCCTGCAGCATTCGTTTGACATCTGATCCTCGGTTTCATGGGGCCTGATCCTTTGTAAGCCACTTGTCCTTTTTAGTCGCAAGGCTGGTTTAGTTCAAACCAGATAAGTTAATCCATAAATCCATTTTGCGGAGCACGAGGAATGGCCGTATGTGGCAATGCCGCGGAAGCGAGTGGATTCCTGTGCCTCCGCTTCCTCACCCGGAAAGTCTGGATGGTGGCAGTACCCCTGGAGTCACCGGGGGGTTTGGGAGTGATGCACGCAGAGCACTCAGAACAGCGCCTTCTTCCCGGGCTCAGCGCACACGCTCAACAGGAGGAGCCGTGGCAGCAAAGCAGGGTTTCTTTCTCAGATGTTTTAGATGAACAGGCATCATGCAGCTTTGGCTGGAGCTCACACCCAGCGTGGGCTGACCCCAGGGGACACTCCAGATCTCCAGATCCAAGCCCCACAGACTGTTGCAATAAAAAGAAATGCATCAGAGAGAAACAGCGCACACGCCTCTCGCTGGCTCTGGGGGCTCTGGTTTAAGAGCCCATCGACTACTCACCCATGAGGGAACAGAAGTAAAATGCCCACGAATGGAAGTTCTGATGTGTCCTTCCCACCCTGCCTCGGCTGCCTGTGCTACCGGGAACACGTGGCGTCTTCCCTTCTGTGACCCCTGCTCTTGACCAATGACTGCACACAAACACCTTTCAGGCTTCCTTTGAAGAGGCAGCCCAAGGGAGCAGAGGTAGTGGGTAGGGCAGAGAGGCCACCTCACTCACCAGCTCTGTGACCTTGAACAAGTGGCATTCTGTGGGGGAGGTGGAATAAAAAGTCAAGACGTAAATAAATAAGGAGGAGGAAGGCATAGGTAATAAGCTCCCCAAAACAAAACTAGATGCTGTCTGACTGAGTGAGTCTTTTTAATCTCCCTGAGCCCCAAGTCCCATGTCTAGGAATGGTCACCTCCGAATGCTCGTCCCAGCATTGTTAAGGCTCGCTCGGCAGATGGAAGCCAGTGATCACATGGTACTGGTTTTCTGTCCGCTGACAGATTTGCGGTGCATTTAGATTTTGGGGTGAGGGAGGCAGTGGTCGGTTGTGTCTGGGAGGGAAGAGGGTATCCCCACGTGTTCTGGACTTGCCAGCTCACTCACTGTGCCCGTTGTCACTCTCCCAGGGGTCCAACCTCACGGACATCTGCACCCAGCTCCTCCTGCAGGGGACTTTGTTAAAAATCTCCGCGGGCAACATCCAGGAGAGGGCCTTCTTCCTGTTTGACAACCTCCTGGTCTACTGCAAGCGGAAATCCAGGTGAGCTGCTGGGGGCAGGCTGCTCAGGTGGGCCGGGCGGCTGGGATTGGGTTGAACCCTGACAGTTTCTCACGGTGACAGCATCCCTCTCGGCAGCTCCCTTTTCTCTTCTGAGTTGTGGGGTTTGTTCTAGATCAGCACTGTCCATAGAAATATAATGTTTGAGCCACACAGGTTATTGAACACTTAATGTGGTTTTTGAAACACACATTACATGAAAGAAAACCAGTGAGATGAATTTAAATAAAAGTTTTTATGTATCCCATTACATCCCCGAATATTATCATTTTAAACATAGTAAGTTTAAAAAAAAGTACTACATAGATGTTTTGAATTCTTTTAAAAATTTCACACTGAGTCTTCAAAGTGTGGTATGTACAGGTTGGGGCAAAATTAGATTTACAGTTGTGAGTACCTGAAACAATTTATCTTTGTGTTATTATTTATTATTATATTATTTTCTATACAAACAACTGTTAACCTACTTTTGGCCCATCTGTATGTTATACTTACTACACATCTCAATTTTTACTCGTCAAATTTAAATTTTTTTTAAAAAAATGGGTTTTTATTGATTTTTAGAGAGAGAGGAAGAGGAGAGGGATAGAAATAGAAACATCAATGAGAGAGAAACATGATCAATTGGTTGCTTCCTGCGTGCCCCTTACTGGGGATTGAGCCCACAACCTGGTTATGTGTCCTGATGGGAATCGAACTGGTGACCTCTTGGCTCAACCACTGAGCGACACCAGCCAGGCTATACTAGCCACATTTTAAGTGTTCAGTAGCCACACGAGAACTGTGGCTTCCATATTGGACTGTGTAGGTTGAGACAATCATGGGAGTTTTGAAGTTTTTTGTGACACCAACATCTTGTAATTCTAAAATCCAAGACAGAGAGTTTGAGGGGAGAGGACTCTTCTGTTCTTAAGCTTTTCAAGGGAAAGGATAGTACCACTGTCATCTTTGTATCTTTCACTGGAACTTCTTGCATTCTGTAGAGTCTAGGTGTGAATGCATGGGTGGATGACTGGTAGATGCAGGTGTGAGTGATGGGATGTATGGGCAAAGAGATGGATAGTTGGGGGTTTGGGAGATGAATGAATGGCTTATGAAGAGAGGCAGGGAGGGAGAGATTGGATGGATGTATGAATCAATTTATGAATAGATGAGTAAGTAGGTGAATGAGTGAGTGGTTGAATGGTTGGAGGTGCAGGAGGTGGTGGGATAGATGGATAGTAGGGGGTTTGGGAGATGAATGAATGGCTTATGAAGAGAGGCAGGGAGGGATAGATTGGATGGATGTATGAATTGATTTATGAATAGATGAGTGAGTAGGTGAATGAGTGAGTGGTTGAATGGTTGGAGGTGCAGGAGGTGGTGGGATGGAGGGATGGGTAGAAGTTGGGGGAATGTATGGATGTTTGGGTAAATGGAGAAATGGATATGAAATCATGACGAGCTGGCAGAGGTATGTTTGGACCAATAGTGAGTTGGGGCCTTAATATATAGTTTGTTGAGTCAAAAGGCTGATGAATGGATGGGAGGGTGGGTAGGTGATGGAGGTTTGGCGGTTAGTGGATAGATGACCATTTAGATGTGTTGTTGATGGGTGGATGGATGGTAGTTGCTATGGTGGATGATTGGGAAGAGGGAAAATTAGACAGCTAGGTGGAGGCATGCGTGGATGGGTAGATAGTGGACTGAGAGATTCCTGCCTCTTAGTTTTTTGCTCAGCGGGTAGAGGACTGGCTCAGCGCCACCCTTTTTGAATTGTGCTTCCTGTCACTTTGTCTTAGGTGACTTCCTGGAGGCTTCACCTCTGTAGTGAAAGCTAAGGCTGAGGGTGGTTCAGACTCTGGGCCCTGCTGTGAGCAGTCCCTCCAGCTCCTTTCTGGTCTGGGCATGCCACTTACTGTCTGAGCCTCATTTTCCTTCTCTGTTTCTGCTGCCTCCTGAGGGGGTGGGCAGGAGCCTTTCCATGGGATGAATAATGGGTGTTCCATGCACATGTGTGGGCTTCTCTCTGTCTTCCTCTTCCAGCCTGACCACTCTGAGCCTCAGTTGTCTCTTCTGTAAAATAGGGATGATAAACCCCTTCCTACAGTGGTGTTTGGTTAAGAGCCCAGCTCAATAATTGAAACCCTGTTCAGTGATTTATCTACATCTGTGACTTTGCCTCAATTTTCTCTTCTGTAAAATAGGGTGAACAGCTATGCCATAGTCTTCGTGAAGAACGAATGTGTTAAGTGTGCCTGGCACATAGAAAATTTACAAAATAAGGGGCAGCTGCTCTTACTGCTGCTGTTAATGTACCTCTGCACATGCTGAGATCCTATTCAGTGCCTTCCCATCGCAGCTGGTACATAGTAGGTGCTTCAACCACAGGCCCCTTCCCCTCGCCCTTTCCTCCCTATTCTGGGGCCTGGTCCTTCTCTGTAGAGGTCTTAGTTTCCCTCGTTTACCATCTAGTGGTGGCTGGGTCAGCATGTTTCCTCATTTGATATTTCATGCCTGTCCGCTGGGTTAGGTGTATTTGTGTCTGTTTCATGTCCTTCTGTCCCTTCATCCCTCTCCTCATCTTCTTCCTCCTTGCTTCCTGCCTGTTCTCACGGGGGCCATCCTTTCTTTGGCAGTGCCAAGGCCACTGCCAGCTTCCACCCCCGCCCTTCCCCGCTGCCCGGCCTGGGCTGGCTGGATCAGGAACTTTCCCCAGAAAGCACCATCTTTCTTCAGGCCTCTGACCTGCCCTCAGCTTTTTTTTTTTTTTTTTTTTTTAAGATATATTTTGTTAATTTTGTACAGAGAGGAAGAGAGAGAGATAGAGAGTTAGAAACATCGATGAAAGAGAGACATCAATCAGCTGCCTCTTGCACACCCCCTACTGGAGATGTGCCCGCAACCAAGGTTCATGCCCTTGACCGGAATCGAACCCAGGACCTTTCAGTCCGCAGGCTGACGCTCTATCCACTGAGCCAAACCGGTCTCGGCTGCCCTCAGCTTTGGCTGAGTTTGCTGAGTTACTTCAGCTACCCCAGTGCAGGCCCATCCTTCATGGCGTGGCTGTACCTGTCTGAGCGAGAGCAGCTGGTCCTGATCTTCCGGACTCCACGTGGGCCTTCTCGGCCGCCCTTTGGCCGCCACAAGGCCATTTCCTTCTCAGTTCTGCGAGTGAGCTGGGCTGGTGGAGGGAGAAGGCACATCTGTCTCCCGAGAGGACCTGGCAGGGGGCCAGGTGCCTGCCTCTGGATCGGGAGCCAGAGGACTGGGCTCCGAGAGGTCCCAGAGGGACTGGGCCGTGGTGGACGGAACAGCCGGCCCGACTGTGATGTGGTCACCGGAAATGCCTGGCGCAGCGAGGTGTCTGCCGACTGTTTTGTCTTTGCCTGGGTCACGCAGGGCACCGCCCGTCCGGGACGGGGGTCAGGGAAGGTCTCTGACTCAGTGTTTCTGGTCTAATTCAAAAGTAGAGGCTCCTTAAAAAAAAAAAAAAAAAAGAAAGAAAAGTAGAGGCTCCTTGGATGTCAGAGTGGAAGAGAGTGTTTGAAAAGCCTACCCCCCATTCTCCGGAGGGAAACAGAGTCGCAGAGCTAAGTCTCCTGTCTCAGCTGAGTGCTTAGTCTCTTAGAGAAAGACTCAGAGGCCTGCCACTTACCACTGTGACCTTGAGTTATATCAGCTCTTTGTGCCTCTGGCCTTCAATGGGGGATAAAAGTCTCATAGGATTGTTTTTATTAAGTAAAATAAAACCTGTAAAGTGGTTAGGATAGGCCCGGCACATGTCTGTAAAGTAGAAGAAACATAAATCTTTACCTTCACTTGGTGTCTCACACACAGCTCACAAATTAAGCCAAGATGCTTAATTTCATCACAGCTCCAGCTCTGTGCCCTCTCCTTTTTCCCAGTCAGGGGCAGCACCACTTACCCGGGAGCTCAGAATCTTAGGTGTCCTTGGTTCTAATAGAATTCACCTGAGTGAATGAATGAATGGTGAGTAGGTGGATGGATGGACTGCCTACTCTGAGCTCTCTTCCACTCTGGTCTTATTTCAGGAAGTTCCTGTTTATTAGACTTTTTGAGAGCCTCAACCCATTTTCTAGTCAAGAAGAATGGGTTTCTATTGCTTCTTGTTAGTTTTTCATTGAAGTCTTCTCACAGACACTGGCGCGCCCCTGAGGTGGGGCGTGGGGGATGTTGACTTCCCCCTGTCTTTCAGGGTCACCGGGAGCAAGAAATCCACCAAGAGGACCAAATCCATCAACGGCTCCCTCTACATCTTCAGGGGCCGAATCAACACGGAAGTCATGGAGGTGGAGAACGTGGAAGACGGGACAGGTAGGCCCCAACCCAAGCCCTGCCTGAGCCCAGTCCCTCCTGCTCCATGACCCACTCTCTGTTTCATTAGTTCTTAAATGTTAATTTGAAATGGAACCTACCTACACAAAATGCCTGAAACTCGTGCATGAGAAATAAATACCTGGGCAGCCACCATTCATGTTAACAAAGCAAAAGCTGTCTGCACCCTGGAACCCCCTTCCCCATCACAGTACTCCTTCCCCTCAGAAGTAATCACTTCCAAATGTTGCGATGATCATTCTCCTACTTTAAAAATATTTTTTTTTACCTCCTAAGTATTACTAAATATTTTAATCACAATTTCTCAGTTTAAAAGCTTATTTAATATAGCCCAGGCTGTTCTGTACAGTGGTTAGAGCACCAAACCCACATACCTAAGGGTTTTGGGCTTGTCCTGTCAACTCACTCGCAAGCGTGTGGTCGGGAACGTTCAGAGTTGTGTGGCGGGGTCTGCTCACCCACCTTTGCCTCCTGCCTTTGCCAGCGGATTACCACAGCAATGGCTACACGGTCACCAACGGCTGGAAGATCCACAACACGGCCAAGAACAAGTGGTTTGTCTGCATGGCCAAGACGGCGGAGGAGAAGCAGAAGTGGCTGGATGCCATCATCCGAGAGCGGGAGCAGCGGGAGAGTGAGTTCTCTGGGGAGATGTGGCTCTGGGGGGCTTCCCCGAGGCTGGGCCTGGGGGAGGGGCATGGAGGTCAGAGCTACTAGAAGCAGGACTCGGAAAGGGCAGGGAGCTCTGGGGCTGTATTGCACCTTGGTGGCATCTCAGATCACCCGAGGTCATCTGCTTTAGCCCACTAGGTAGATGGTGAAACTGAGGCCCAAGGGAAGGGACTTGCCCAAGGTCATGTCATTGATCATTCTTGGATGCGTGACATCCTTCACCCTGGAGGTCTGGTGGCAGAGATGCTCTCTGCGATGCCTTCCCTCCTCCATGGCTCTACAGCCTTTTCCTGGGGTTGTGCCAGAGATTCACCGAGTCTGCGTTGGGGAGGAGGGTCCAGGAGAGCTGCCTACGCTGTGGCCATGAGTCTCCGGGCCCAGGCACCTCTCGGGCAGCTCCCACAGGAAGTGTGGGGCTGGGTGTGCTAGCTGGGTGAGGGTGGGGTGGGTAGTGGTAGACTGTTGTGCAGTCACTACCGGGCGTGGAAAAGCGAGACCTGCTGTGTTTGGGGCAAGTTACTTCAGCTGCTGGACCTCTGAGGTTGCCTGAGACGTGGGGATGAACGTTCCTGCTGGGCAGTTTGACACAGGATCCTAAAGTCTTTCCTGACCTCCCACACGAGCTACAGACATCTCACACTTACCATGCCTCATCAGAACCCTTCACCTCCATCAGATCTTCTGCCCAGACCTGCCCCTCCCATCAGCTTCCCTATCTCAGTAAGTGGCCCCCCTCCGATTCAACTCGTGGTGTCATCTTTGTTTTCATCCTGCTCCCCAAATTCAGTAGGTCCAATCCTTTTAATTCTGCCTTTCACATATATCCCAGATTTATCCTCGTCTCTCCTATCCCTACAAAGCACAAATCACTGTCACCTCTCAAGGATATAGGCCCAACGTGCCTAGATCCATTGATTTTATTTATTTATTTTCCTCAAGAAGCTAGACATCTGAATTTTAAGGTGTTATTTCTTGATTTTAAATATTGCATCAACATTTATTAAAATGGCATCAGGCTAAATAAGCTACTAAAGTTGGCCCCTGGTTGTGACATCTGAAACTGATCAGGGCTGGGCGTGTGGTCAGGACTGGGACAGAGTTCAGGGGTGTGGCCTGGCCTGGGTGTGGCGAATCAGGATCTCTGTGGTCAGAATCGAAGGTTGTGGTTAGTGCAGAGCATAGGTGATCGCGAGTGGGGTGTGGCTTGAGAGGGCCTTGGTTAGTAGAAACCGGAACCCTGACCTTCCAGGGGCGCGGCACGTTGCTGTGGTCAGCAGTATGGATCTGTAGCAAAACTTTCTGGCTCTTACTTCTGCTTCTACCACTTCTAGTTAATTTTGTACAGAGAACTTAATTTCTCTGGGCCTCGGTTTCTACATCTGTGAAATAGGGATAATGGTCCTTGCTTGTAGGATTCCTGAGGACCAAGTAGCGTATAATGGGCGCTTATAGTGTTTCCTGTGATTGTTTGTCAGTCCTGCCATTGTCAGGAGCAGACAGGGTCCAAGTAGAAAATGTGGGTTGAGGGGGGTGGGGCAGTGATCTGGGTCAGGGTCCTGTGTGTGTTGTATTTTCTAGAGAAATGGCCAAATAGCCATACCTGGCTGGAAGGAAGATCTCAGCAGGCTTTCCAATAACCTCTAAATTTGAAAACCTATCCTCAGGTTGAGGGCTTGAATAAGCTTAACTGCTACTTGCTCTGGGATTTTTTTTTTTTTGTCTGGGCCTCAGTTTTGCCATCTGCAAAATGGGGGTTTTTAGCCATCCTCTCCTACCGAGTTCTTTCGAGGAGCTTAGGACGGAGACCACAATGCAGTGAGTGCTCTATCGATGGCCACTGGCTGTGGCAGTGGTCGGGGACAGCTGGGGATAGCTTTCAGGAGCTGCAGGCCAGCCCCTCCGCGCCTCAGTGCTGGTGCTGTCCCTGGTGCTGACCGTGCCTCCCCTGCAGGCCTGAAGCTGGGCATGGAACGGGATGCCTATGTCATGATTGCGGAGAAGGGGGAGAAGCTTTACCACATGATGATGAATAAGAAGGTGAACCTGATCAAGGACCGTCGGAGAAAGCTGAGCACCGTCCCCAAGTGCTTCCTGGGCAAGTGAGTGGCCCGACCTTGGCCTCTGCTGGGTCCCTGGGTCTCAGCTGAGGCTGGAGATGGGCAGGCGACTGCACCCACCTGGTTCTTCCCAGTCCTACCCCTCCCTACAGGAGCCCTCCTGGGCAGACCTACTAAAGCACCCTGAATCCTTGCGCTTTGGAGGTCAAGAAGGATAGTGGGCCCCCATATCAGGTCTTTCCGGTATTTTTAACCATAACTCACTGCAAAACAAGTTTCCTGTTATGACCTGGTACACACATCCATATAATATATGAATGAAGCTGAAGAGTCACAAAACTTCCTGTGTTCGCTATACTCTGAGACCATCTGCTCTGCATTTCTATTCTATTTCTTTCTATCCTGTGTTGTCCTATCCTACCTCATCCTGTCCTACCCTTTCTGTTCTATTGAAGTCATTTCAAAAATACTCCTGAGTGAGACCTAAGAAATTGATTTCACAAACTAGTAGTGGGTTGCCCACCGTGGGTTGAAAAGTGCTGTTCTAGGAAAGAGAAGCCACGGTTTCAAGCACAGAGGTAGTTGACACAGGGAATGGATTACGAAGGTGATGGGAGGTCTGGGAGAGCAAACGTAGGCTCTGTCTCAGTCTGCTGGGGCTGCCATGACAAAACGCCACAGTCCGGGCAGCGTAAACACAGATTTATTTTCTCACAGCGCTGGAGGCTGGAAGTCCAAGAACAAGGTGTCCGCAGGGTTGGGAACTGGGGAGGCTCCCTTTCCGAGTTACATGTGAGAGAGGAGGAGGGGGAGGGTCTGTAAGCTTTTCAGTGCTTATTAGGGCCTCTCATTTCTCTGTTTGGGAAATACATTATTTACTACTAATAAAACATTTTACCCCTGCACACATTTTATAATCAAGCAGCAAAGGGGTCAGAGCACAGGTGTGACCAGATTGGATCTTTAGTTTGTATTTTTATTACTTTTTATTTTTTTATTTTTTGACACTATTACAGATGTCCCCATTTCCCCCAACCTTTGCCCACCTCCATCCAGGTCCTCCTTCCCTACCCCCGGCCTTCACCGTGGTTGCCTGTGTCTGTGAGTTGCACAGTATGGTCTTTGGCTAATCTCTTCACCTTCTGTCACCCAGTCTCCCCGACCTCCCTCGCCTGGATGGAGATGTTGACATGTTAGCTGGGTATAAAATCTTGACCCTGGAAGAAAAGTCTGGGTTGGAGACCTGCGTGCAGGGGGTGTGGGCTCTCGATGGTCTTTGGAGCCACAGGGACTGAAGGAAATCGGAAGAGGAGGTGGAGAGGCTGGTACTGGGGTTGGGGGCCTGATGGCCTTTGGAGGAAGGACCAGCAGAGGAGTTGGGAAGGGGGCAGGCAGAGAGGTGGGAGGCACTCAGGCGAGTGTGGTGCTCGGGAGCCGGGTGAACAAAGATGTGGAGACAGTGGGAAACAGAAACTCAGGTTGGACGTGGCAGGTTGAAATGCCTGGTGGACATTCAGTATTGATTCTGGATGGGCTGTCAGAGACCAAGTGTGGGGCTGGGTATGGTCATGGGCCAAGGCTTGTGTTTGGCAGGATAGCAGGCAGGAGATTTGAGGGGGAGGGGGGGTTGGGCCCCTGTGGGGTGATCAGGATGCCCTGGGTTTGGGCTGCCATTTGGACCCCAAGGGTCAGCCCACTCCTCTTCCCCCAGCTAAGCTCCCTGGGTGAGAGGAGATGGGGTGCCAGACCTGCAGGCTGTGGGGAAGGGACAGCCTGGCTGGCCTCCACCAGCTAATCCCTAATCCCTGGGCAGAAAGGATGTTTTTCTCTCCAGAGGGGCCTTCCTCCCACCTCGTCCCCCAGGGTCAGAGGACTCCTCACCTCCTGCCGGACCCCTCCGAGAGCATAGTCCACCGGATGGGATAACCTGTCTGATTAGAGCTTCAGTGGAGTGTTCTGTCTTCTCAGGAAGGATTAAGGAGATTTCTTTTACTGCCCATTGGAAACGGGGCCAGAATTGAAGCTCGTTGTGTAATCGCTGGGGCCTACGGACCTGTTGTCCTGCAGGAGACTGCTCTGTAAAACTCTTCTCCCGGATGGCTTCGCCGTGCACCGAGCCCGGGGCTGTGACCTCCTCTTTCCCTGTGGGGCTCCGCTCCCCCGCCTTCTCCCCCAGGAGCTCCCTGGCCCCTCGGGTGGAAGGAACCAGCAGCCACAGGGGCACATTATTGAGCCTTTTGCTGCTCCAGAAGCTGGCATGTGGCCATGCCTTTAACCCTCACACAACACCGTGAGGCAGGTGACTGCCATCATCCCCATTTTAAGGATGGGGAAACTGAGACACAGAGAGGGAGAAGGCCCTGCTCAAGGTCACAGGTGGGGAGCTGGGATGTGAATCCAGAACTTGGACCCACAGCATCCTGCTGCTTGCTGCATTGATCCATTTTTATCTCTATTCAGCACATTTCATTTTTACTTCATAGAAACTTTCTCTCCATTTGTCTCTACCACTAGACAGGGAACTCCATGAATACAGAAAGTGTCTGATTTATCTTTATAACCTTCAGGGATTGGGCTTTGCGTCAGACTTGGACTCAATTTCTGGAGCTCCCACTTCAGGACTTTGGGCAAGTTTCTTAACTTCTCTGAGTCCAGTAAATGATCGATGAATGAGTGGGAATAAAGTATGCCTAATAAGATTGTTGGAGAAGACAGTGAGAAAATGCAAGTGACATGCTGAGCACAGTGCTGGCAAGAGTGATAGAAATGAGTATTGGGCTTAAGGAGTAGCCTGTTTTTATTTTATTATTTTTTTCTTTATTGATTAAGGTATTACATGTGTCCTTATCTCCCCCCCCCCATTGTCCTCACCTCATGGCCCCCCCCCCCACCCCCGCCCCGTGTCTGTGTCCATTGGTTAGGCTTATATGCATGCATACAAGTCCTTTGGCTGATCTCTCCCCTTTACCCCCACCCTCCCTTCCCACTGAGGTTTGACGGTCTGATGGATGCAAGAATGGCCTGTTTTTGTCAAACTCAAGAGACAAACCTCACAGATACCACATGACAGAAACCAAGGAGTGAAATCTGTATGTTACTCTGGAAGCATCATGGGAGGATCATGGCATTTGTCCTCTGGGATCCCCAGATGAGTTGGAGAGACAGAATCTATTATTCATTCATTCATTCATTCCATTTATTGAGTGTTTACTGACTATGTGCCAGCTATGAGCAGGACAAACTCACCACCTGGACATAACCAGCCCATCAGGGAGTCAGCAAAAAGACAATAGACAAATACAAATACAAATACAAATACAAATACAAATACAAATAAAGAAGGGAATTTCAGAGAGGTGAAGATGCTGTAAGGAAGTAAGTAGGTTGGTCTCAAGAGGCAAAAAATGGGGTGGTATTTCAACAGGGTGGTCAGGAAGACACTCTGGGGGGAGGTGACCTTTTAACCAAGGTCTAAATAACAAGGGAGAGCCAGCCGTGAACATATCGGGGAGGGAATGGCAGGTACAGAAGCTCCAAGGTGGAATGGCCTGGACTAAGTAATTGAGCAACAGTAAGGAGGTCGGTGTGGCTGAAGGGAGTGAGTGGGAGACAGTGGCCCAGGGGTTGACGGGCCAGGTCAGGCAGGGAAGGGGTAAGAGGTTCAGCCTTTATTCTCAGGGCTCTGAAAAGCTACTGAAAGAGTGTATAAGCGGCAGAGGACGATGAGGGTGAACCTTCATGCAGGCCCTGAATGAGGACACGGTCAGAGCTGTTGGAGCCCAGGGGACAAGGTGTGTTAGTCTGTCTGGCAGGGCAGTCAGGGAAGGCTTCCTGGAAGAAGAAGGCCTTTGGTTTTCCCTGTGACAGAGGTCAGATGGCCTTCCATTATTCCTGTGTGGCAGAAGGGAAGTTCTCAGGGGGAAGAGGTCTTGCTGTCTCGTCCACCTGTGTACACAGGTGCAGGGTGTGAGCATGTGGTGGCTGGTCAATAACGATTTGTCGAGCATGGCTGCAGGTACCTTCAGGAGGCATCTTAGGCCGTGGGGTTTACTATAACCCCCCAGTCCCTACCCTCGAGGAGCTCAAGGCCATGGGAGAGACAGGCACGCGATTACTGAACTGGGTGGTGAGTGGGACCTCGGGCCTCCGCTAGGGCACTTTCCTAGAAGAGACATAGCTGTGCCTCCCCTGTGGCCAGCACTGAGCGTGGCTCCATGTTTACCGGGCGAATGGTTCTGGGGACCAGGAAGGAAGGAGGGATGAAGGCGGGACACATAATAACTTCCATCCAGTCCCCCATTCCCCGAACTTCAAACTTGCCACCAACTAGACCCACCTTCTCTCTGTGTCCCCCGACCGCTGCACTGAGCTGTGTCCTTCCGGAAGACGGGATCTCGCTGCTTTTTGCAGCTCCCCACAGCTGGCATGCTGCTGCTTTCCCAGTCATAACTCACGCAGGGCCTCTGAGTATGCTGATCCCTCGTTCTCGAACACCCTTCCCTGCACCTGGTGCTGGTAAATGGTGCCCTCCTGACCCAGCACAGCTCGCAAATGTGTTTTTCTCTAGGCCACATGGTGCTTCCAGAAGAACCTGGACTTGATAGCTACATTTACCGATTGGGAGAGTTCACAGGAAATGCGGGATTTCCGGCTTTTCTTGAAAAGTCTTAGCCTTCCCATGCAGCCGTGGTCAGACTCTGAGAAGGGGCTCCCGCCTCCAGCAGTGCATTTTATCTGGTTTTGCACACTGGGTCCCAGCTTAAGGTTTTGTGTGATTAGAAAGTTTACCTGTTAAATCCAGAAAGCCGCCGGGACCGGTTTGGCTCAGTGGATAGAGCATCGGCCTGCGGACTGAAAGGTCCCGGGTTCGATTCTGGTCAAAGGCATGTACCTTGGTTTTGGGCACATTCCCAGTGGGGGTGTGCAAGAGGAGGCTGATCGATGATTCTCTCTCATCGATGTTTCTAACTCTCTATCCCTCTCTCTTTCTCTCTGTGAAAAATCAATAAAATATATTAAAATAAATAAATAAATAAATAAATAAATAAATAAATAAATAAATCCAGAAAGCCCCTGAGTGAGCCACTGGCCAGAGGGGCCCCGTGAAAGCCCAGACAGGGACAGCGGCTTGCCCAAATGTGCCCAGCAAGCGGTGAAACCTCCTTTGTCCTCTAAAAAGGAGCAAGACTCGGCTTAGAGCAGAAACGTGATCACTGCTGCTGGCCTCTGGTTTGTCTTCTGTCCTAGCATCTGCTGTGGGGTACTTCCTGTCCCACCCCCCCCAATCCTGGCCACAGGGCTGGGGTCAGTGCCAGAGGCGGCCCCCAGTGGGACAGCGAGTGGGCAGCCGGACGCTGAGCCCCCAGCTTCCGAGAGTGGGCACTCAACATCTGTTCATTTCTCTTAGCTGTGGGCATCTTTCTCCCTGCCTCTGAGTTCTGGAACTTAGAGAATGGAACTGGGGATGGGCAGGACCCTGAACAGTCTCTTCCCCACCTGGGTCCTGTTCCACCCAAAGATCCATTTCTATGCCCCCCGCCTGGGCCTGCATCGGGGCTCTCTGAATGCCTCAGCACACGCCACGACCTACACAGCACTGCAGGTCTTTGCTCAGCAAACCCTGGAAAGCTAAAAATAGCCCTGCCCCCCTCTGGCCCTGTAATTGGAGGCGGGACAGCTGGTTTCGATAAGCAGGAGAGCTCTGCGCTCTGGCCAGCTGCCACCTGCTTTCATTGAACACAGATTGCGAGGCGGAAACAGCTCGTTCCTGCTGACTTCCAGTGGGTTGAGCTCTGAGTGCACACTGCCAAGAGCCGGGAGCTGGGGTCTGACTGAGCCTCTGCCCCCCGGGGTAGTCACATTGGATTTGCCGGCTTTCCTGCGGCCGAGGAGCACTGCTTTCTCCCTGAGTCCTCCTCCTGGTCCCAGAACACTCCTCCTTGCTCCATGGCTCGCTCCTTCATCTGTTCAATAAACAATTATTCAGCCCTCATGTGCTTTTTTGACCCTCTGCTGGGTCCAGGGGGTGGAGCCATGCATAAGAGGGCATGGAGATTACATTCTGGTTGGGGGAGATAGCTGATAAACACACATAAATCTGCAAATAGCACAACTTCAGACAATCACAACATTAAAAAGGAAGCAAAACCAAGAGACGGGATGGACTGTGTGGGGTTAAGGGATGGCTCTGGATGAGGTGGGCAGGGAGGGCTTCTCTGAGGAGTTGATATTTGAGCTGAGACCTGAATGATGAAAGGGAGGGGCTCCCTGAAGAGCTGAGAAGAGTGTTTCCAGGAAGAGGGAACAGCACATGCAGAGGCCCCGAGGCAGGCAGGAGCCCGACATTTTTTAAAGAAGGTGGGCATGGCTAAAGCATAAGTGAGAGACACAGGGGACGGGTCAGTCAGGACGGGGCATTCTGCAGGCCTTGATTGCATGTGGGCAGACTTTTCTTCTTCTGAGAGCAATGGGGAAGCCTGCTGGAGGATTTAAAGTAGGAGGCCGACATGATTTGATCACTGTTAACTCTCCTGACTCTCCACAGTTACCTTTCTGGATCGTATTTCTTCCTGCTTGTTTGATTTTCATTCCTCCTGTTCATCCATCCATCCATCCATCTAGCCACCTGTCATCCATGCCCCACCAATCTACCCAGCTATCTCTCTACTCATCACCTACCCACCTGCTCATGTTCCCCTCCACCCACCTGCTCACCAGTCTTTTCAGCCGTCTGTTAATAATTTGTCTGTGAAGTCATCCAAGTATCCATTCACTTTCCATTCATCTGCCTGTCAACTCACGTGTCCATCTATCCATCCTCCCGTCCTCTCACTCTCCCATTTACCTATCCACTCAGCCATCCATTCATCCATCCAGCCTGAGGCAGGGCCGGGGGTCTCTGCCATTGGTCATGGGGAGAATCACAAGGCCTCAGCACAACCCCCAGGGCTGTGGCCCGCTAAGCTTTGCTTCCCTGAGGGAAGTTTGGCTGTTCTTCCCAGGAGCGGGTGAGGCCAAGCCTGCTTAGTGCTGGTCCCTGAGGGCCAGGGCTGGGGAAGTCCTCTCAACCTCACCTTCTGTTCCTGGCAGTGAGTTTGTTGCCTGGCTCCTGGAAATTGGTGAAATCAGCAAAACTGAAGAAGGAGTCAACTTGGGCCAAGCCTTGTTGGAGAATGGTATTATCCACCATGGTGAGTGGGGGCGGGGCCTGGTGGGCCAAGGGGTAGGAATAGGTCAGACCCCTACAGTGCTGTTTCCACGGACTCAGAGGCTATTTCTATACTTCTCTGCAGCCACCCTGTACCCTGGCTCGGTGGGGTCCCAGGAATGTAGGTGCCCTTATAAAACTGCTTGCCCCCCCCCCCCCCCAGGGTAGCAGCAATGTGGGGGCACCTCAAAAAGGTGGGGGCAGAGGAGTAAACCTTTCTATTGGCTTAAGTTCATTGAGTGCCTGTCTGGGGCCAGGCGCTGTCTACACAATGGTGAACGGGCCAAGCTTCCAGCTGTGGGGAGAAGACAGTAGACAAGATACATACAAATAAGTGTACACAGGTGGTGGCAAGGGTAGGAAGGGAGAGAAAGCAGGGCGTGGGGTTCACCATAAATAGGCGAGTTGGGAAGGCCTCACGGAGAAGGGGAGGACGGAGCCAGCACCGGAGAGAGGGAGGGAGCAGGTGGGCTCTGGGGTTCCAGGCAGAGAGAACAGCCAGTGTAAAGTCCTGGGACAGAAAGGTAAGTGGTTGTTGGGGGAACAAAAGGGATGCTAGGATGGCTTCTGCGGAGTGGGCAGGGGGAGTGTTTGATGACGTCAGAGAGCACAGGGCCAAGGGGAGTGCTCAGGGGGACGAGGTCCAGGGACGAATAGGGAGTTGCCGAGCCTTTGGCTTTACTCTGAGTGACATGTGAAGAAGCCACTGCTGAGTTTTGAGTGGAGGAAAGACCCGCCCAGACTCAGACTTCAGCAGGATCCCTTTGGCTGCCATGCGGAGAGTGGACTGTGTGCCATGGGCAGCAGCAGGGCGCCCAGTGCGGAGGCAGCTGTGAAATCCCGGGAGGGAGAGGGAAGTGGCTTGGACTTAGTGGGAGTGCAAGGTCAGATTCTGAATGTTTTGAAGGGAGAGCCTACCAGGTTGGCTAATGGATCCAAAGTGGGGCATGAGAGAGAGAGACACGCGAAGGGATGCTCAAGGCCGTGGTGTAGAGATGGTCCCATAAATCCTGACAGTGTGGTCTCAGACCCAGCACACTTGGTCCCCACACAAGCTGTGGTGATCTAGCTCCAAGGAGATGCTGAGCCCGATGGGCCCCAGCACAGGCTGGATCCCGGGGATGTCTGGGCCTCTCATGGCCCAAGTCTCAGCAAGGCCCCGCATGTAGCATGGGCAGGAGGCTCGGGAAGTCTTGTTTGGCATGGAGGCTGGCCAAGTGGAGGGCGATGACGGTGGGCTTGGGGCCGAGGGGGCCTGCTCTGCTTCACTGACCCCCCCCCCCCCCCCCCCCCCCCCGGTCCCTCTAGTCTCCGACAAGCACCAGTTCAAGAACGAGCAGGTGATGTACCGCTTCCGCTACGACGACGGCACGTACAAGGCCCGGAGTGAGCTGGAGGACATCATGTCCAAGGTAGGGACCCCGTCACCCTGACCCGTCCTTCTGACCCCTCCGTCAGCACAGAGCAGGCCCCAGGGGCCTCTTTTCCTCCCTCTCTCTCCCCCACACACCTGTTCTTTCCGGGGGGCATGGATTTGGAGCCCCTGAAGGATGTGACCTGATCCCAGACTTCCTCCTTTTTTCTTCCAGGGTGTAAGGCTTTACTGCCGTCTCCACAGCCTCTATACCCCTGTTATCAAGTAAGTGACTCTCTCCCAACGTCAGTTTCACCTTCGCTGGTCACTGCGCTGAGCCCCAGCCTTCTCCATCAGCTGGAACCAATAATGGCACCTACGCCATAGGCTTGGGACTGGGGTGGAGTGAGTTTTTTGGGGAACAGTGCAGCATGGTGGTGCCTGCCAGATACCACCTGTGTGACGTTGGGCATAGTTACTCTTTCCTGTGTGGATGGGGTCATAATAGGATCCACCTCAGGGCCTTTGCATTGCTGTTCCTCTTCCCTTATGTGCATGCCTATTTGCTTCCTCACTTCCTTCAAGTGTCTTAAAGGGCCTTCCCTGACCACCTTCCCAACAAAGCGTCATCGTTGGCATGCACTGTGCGCCTTACCTCACTTTGGTGTTCTTCTTGAACTTGTCAGGATGACGTATGTCCTATTGTCAGTATGTCGGTTGACATGTTTATTTGTAGACTGTTCTTTTCTCCCCACTGAGTTGTAAACTCACCCAGGGTGGGGAATGTGTTCATTCCTGTGTCCCAAGACCCTTGGCGCCTGGAATAGTGCTGTCCAGTAGACCTTTCCGCACTGACAGAAATGCTCTGTGCCTGTGCTGCCCAGTCCGGTAGCCTCTAGCCCCTTGTGGCTCTCAAGCCCTCGAGCTGGAGGAATGTGATTTTTAAGTTTGATTTAATGTTAATTGATTGAAATTGGAGGGTGCTGGCCTGGGGTAAAGTAGCACGTAGTGAATGTTTTGTCGAGTAGTAAATGCGGAAAGGTAATGCATCTTTTTGGCCTCTGTTTCTGCATCTGTGAAATGGGCATAAGAATAGCTCACGCCTCTTGGGTTGTCACGAGGACTCAGTCTGAGTGGTGCCTGGCACTGAGTGAGCGCCGTAGAAATACCAGCCAGTGGTGGCTCTCTTTACATGAGGCTGTGGTTGTGGATGAAGGCTCAGAGAGGTTTACCCAGTTCTCTCCCAGGTCCAGAGTCCCCTGTCCCTTGTCCTGACAGCTCTATGAGCTCTCAGAGAAGCAGGGGGGAGGGGGGGGCCCTTCCTGACAGTTGCTGGCCTCGTCGTTGGCCTTTGGCCTCATTGGAGGTCAGGTCCTGGGAACCACTTTCATCTCCAGACCTGCCTCCGCCTGCTCAGCCCCTCCCCTGCTCGTCTCCTGCAAGTCCCAGAAGGGCCCCTCCCTCTCCCATCACCCAGCCTGCTGGGCACCGCAGCTCCTCGAAACCGAGAAAAACTCCCCAGCTGGCCCTCACCAGCCTCGGTATGGGCCGGCCACAGAAGGACTGAGAGTTAGTACAAATGGTTGCAAGATCCGAGGAACCCTTTGTCCCAAGACTCAGCAGAAGTTCAGAGGTCACAGGGGTTGGAGCATTTACCTCGGAAAGAATCAGGACTGTCCCAGGCCCGGCCCTCTGCTCGGTCCTGACCCTGGCCGTCGGAGAGTGTTCCTCATCCCTCAGAGGAAACCAGCTTTCTGTAGTCACGGTGCTGTCGACCGCGGGGCTGGGCAGTTCTTTATTTGAGAGCCATTCTGGGCATCCCGGGTTTCCACCTGCTAGATGCCAGGAACCCCTCCGCCTCTCCCCCGGTCATAATGGCCAAATGTGTCTCCAGACACGGCCTGGTGTTTCTGGGGGGCAAAGTCGCCCCTGGAGAGAGGAGACGGAGAGCCGTTTACTCCTGCCCTCTCATGCTGTGAGTGAGAAGGGAAGGGGGTTTCGCCCTAAGAGTGAGGTGTGGAATCCTGGCCCAGTGCTGTCCCCAGCCCCCCGCCCCCCCACTCCCAGGCCTGGAGAGCCTGGCACCCTTGGACCCAGAGCACCAGGGCGGGAAAAGGGCGTCTGCCCCCACCTCGGCTCCCCATGCGCTCAGGATGCTCTCCCTCCTCCCCACAGAGACCGGGATTACCACCTGAAGACATACAAGTCCGTGCTGCCGGGGAGCAAGCTGGTGGACTGGCTGCTGGCTCAGGTGAGGATCCGCGAGCACCATGGCGCTCTGCCCGGGACGGAGAGCCTAACGGGACGCAGACCTTCGAGGACTTTGTTTTTAAAACTCCTTTTCACTTGTGGTAAAATACACATCGCACTCGCCGTCCTGCCCGTTCAGTGGTTGTAGGTGCATTCACACCGCTGTGCAGCCTCTCCGGAGCTCTCCTCATCCTGCAGAACCGAAACTCTGACCCCCTCAAACACCCGCCCCCACCCCTCCCGCCCGGCCCCTGGCAGCCACCCTCTGCTTTCTCTCTCTGAATTTGACTGTGCGAGGCACCCTGTGTACTAGCGTGTGGAGTCATACAGCAGTTGTCTTCCTGTGTCTGGCTTATTTCACTCGGCATTACGTCTCAGGGTTCATCCATGCTGCTGCATGCGCCAGCATTTGCTTTCTCTTTAAGACTGAACAACATTCCATGGCACAGACACAACCACGTTCTGTCAATCCACCAGCCGGTGGACGCTTGGGTTGCTGCCACCTTAAGGCTTTCAGTTTTAAAACTGGGACCGTCCTGGGCCAATTGGGACGAGATGGTCTCATCCTGGCCCCGCTCTGGAGCCTCCATGTGGGACTTGTCAAGTTACCGCTTTCACATACGTTCCCAGGGGGCAGGGGCTGGGCGAGGCTTGGCAAGTCTACGCGTCAGTTTTGCTGCAACTTCCCAGAGGTGTGTTTGTTCCACGGACACTCCTGTCTGCTGTCTCTTGTCCTTTATGGCTCCCGCTCACAGGGCACTTCCTCTGCGCCAGGCACTGCCTGGGCTCTGAGCACGATCTCACTGCGCCCTCCAACCCGTTTGCGGCTGGGAGAACCGGGCCTAGAGGGGCCATGTGCCTGGTCTCCGGCTCACAGCCTCGTGGCAGCAAAGCTGCGGGGGCTCGGGCAGGCCTGTCTCACCCACCTGTGCCTTATTCTGCAAACTTTTCGGGGAGCCTGCAAGAATGTTCATTTGTAATCTGTAAAAAGAGCGCATCGGCTCCAAAGATGAGGAGAAATCAAAGTGGATGTGTGGTTAAACATTTCCAGCTTTCTGTCAGCCTGCATTTCGCATCCATGAAAACCCCTTTCCATCCAGAAACACTGTGCTGGCTGGATTTTTCTCATGTCGCACACACATTCCTGATGGCTGCCTAAAAATCACAGCAGATCTGCAAAGTAGTTGTTTCTTGGCGTCAAATACCTTCAGAAGCAAGTTTAGAAGATCCCTTTAAAATATGGTCTGAGCCACAAAAACACATTTAATGTAGGGCATGGGTGCATTTTAATCTGCTTGCGCTGATGTAGGACCCAGGGTCTGGAATGTCTGGATTTGATGTCAGATTTGCCCATTTGGGGACCACAGAACATCTAACCACTGTGCTACACCATCCCTAGGGTCCCAGGAAACCAGCCCAGAGCATGTTTCACTTACAGCCAGGCTGACCTGGGTTCAAGTCCTACCTCGGCCACTTCCTAGTTGAGTGATCTTGGACAAAAGCTACTTAACTTCTCTGTGCCTCAGTTTCTACACCTGTAAAACGAAGCTAAAAAGCCTTCCCAGTCTCCTTAGGATGCTTTTGAGGATTCAGTGAGTGGGTCAGAGGGCCCCTGGCTCCAGAGTTCATTGTCTTCACCCCTCTGCTCCGTTGTCTTGGGCTGTGCTACCTGCGCTCCAGGGCACCCCAGACTGTGGTCATCAACTGGAGGGCAGGGGTCAGTGGACTGGAGCGGGACAGAGCTGGGACAGGCCGGGAGCCCGGGGTGGGAGGGCACAGGTCTGCCGGCTCCTCTGCTGGCTCAGCAGAAATGTGCCCGAGTGCCCTCCTCACAGACCCCACCACCCAGCAGATGGCATGTGCTGACCGCGGCAGGGTTTTCAGTACAGCGAGCCCGGGCCAGGGCGGGAGCAGACAAAGGGCCAGGCTGGCGGCTCCAGGCAGCGGCTGAGGAAACCGGAGAGCCAGGAGCAGGACAGGAGCCGTGGAGAGGCCCCTCCTGGAGCCTCCGTTTCCCTACGTGTAACAGTGTTTGGGGGAGGGCCCAGCTCCGAGAGGACCCCATTCTCACAGTGTAACCTCAATTCTTCACTTATCAGATGGGGTTAGTAAGAGCGATTGCTTCCGGGTTACCACCAGGACCAAGGGAGCCCACCGGCGTGGCTCAGTGGTGGAGCATCGCCCTCTGAACCAGGAGGCCCCAATTCGACTGCCCGGGTTGTGGGCTGGATCCCCCGTAGGGGACGTGCAGGAGGCAGCTGATCCCCTGATTCACATCATCGATGTTTCTGTCCCTCTCTGTCTTCCTCTCTCTGGAATCATAAAAACATATTAAAAGAGAGACTGTGCAGTGCCCGGCAGGCGGTCGGGGGTGAGAGGCATCCTTGGGCCTTATGACGGGTTTTGGAATTCGTGGGCAAAGGGGCCCCCTGAGGCCCTCTGTAAGCTCCCTTTTCTCACCCCCCCGCCCGCTCCCCCCACCCCCCGCTCCATGTTCTCTCTCCAACCCTGCTGTGCCTCGGCTCCGTCACTCTGAGGTATTCCTCCCTCCTGAGGAATAACCGAGCAAGAGTCATTAACATGTATCACGTGCTCGCTCCATGCCAGGCACTAGGCCAGGAGTCCCCCGGGGAATTGTCCTTTAGTCCTCACAAGGCTCTGAGAGTGGACAGGATGATGGCTCCCATTTTAGAGACACGGAAACCAAGGCAGACAGAGGTGGGTTCAGGGTCAGTGCCCAAAATGGGCTTTCCATTCTTTCATCCAGTTCATTCTTTGGACATTTCTCGTGGCCCGCTAACTGCTCCATGCTGGGCTTCAGGGCGGGGATGTGGGGTAAACGTGGCAGGCACTGCTGCTGCCCACGGGAGCTGACATTCTAGTGGGAGACAGACCTTAAACCACATTTGTTTATTAGGAGACTGGAGGCCCTATGCACAAAATTCGTGCAGGGTTAGGCCTTCCTTCCCTTGGATTCTGGAACCAGCTTCCCTCTGGCCCCTGGGACCCGGGATTCCCTCCTCCGGCCACCGGCAGGCACCCAGGATCAGGGCTTCCCTCGGAGCCCCAGCTTCGTCTGGAAGGATGTCCGGTTTAATTATCAATAGCATATTACATTTTTATTAGTATAGATTGTGGCAGGCAGGGAGAGGAGCCGGGGCAGAGAGCATGGGGCTGATCCTCCCTGAGAGCGGGGCCCTGAAGGGACAGCATTTCAGGCTGTGACAGGCGCAGCAGATGTGATGAAGGGGAGGAGAGCGGAACGGGCTGAGTATGTGTCCAGAGGATGTGTGGTGGAGGGGGCGGAGGACTACTTGAGGGGAGGTGGGGAAAGGCCTGCTCTGAGGAGGTGACATAGGACTGAGACCTGAAAAGCCAGGCAGGCATTTGAGATGGGGGGAAAGAGTGCGAAGGCCTGAGGTGGGGCCACGTGAACTGTGTGGAAGGAGCAGCCCGGAGGCCGGTGTGGCTGCAGCTCCCAGCTTTGGGGGTGAGGGGGGAGGTCGGGGAGAGGATGGGGGAGTGCGGTGTGTGTGCCTGTTCCTTCCTCCGGGAAGGGAAATGGTGACTTGTGGTTTCCCCACAGCCGATGGGGCGTGGGCTGGGGGTTCACTTTTCAAGTGATGGGTGCATCCAGGACCAATGGATCCCACAGCTGTTCTAACGTAGGAGCCTCCCTGAGGGTCACCCCAGGACCCTGCGGGGAGAAGGGGAGCAGGGATGGGCTGGGAGGCCAGACTGAGAGCCTCGGAAGGCCAGTGGTCTCCAGACGGCCGCCCAGGCCCCCAGGCTGCGAGCTGGGCCCCGGCTGTGCCTCCCCGGCTGGCCCCTCACAGCTGGGGGTGGCTGCTCTGGATTCTGCCTCTCTCATGGATGGCGGCCGCCCTCCCGTAGCAGCACTCGGAGCTTGCCAGCCCTGCAGCCACAGGCCCGGGTCCCACAGGAGAGATCTGTCTTCCTCCAGGCAGCTGGGCCAGCCAGTGCGGCAGCATACCGAGGCCAGCGGCTCCCCCAGGCCCTGTGCTCTGCGTCCGAGGCCCCGGTCCTGGCAGACTGAGCTCTGCTGCTTTGGCCCTCCCCTCTCCTGTAGCCGGGAACTCCTCTCCTGGCCCCTCTGATGCTCAGGGAGGCTGGGACAGTTCAGGCCTCTGGCGCGTCTGTGTCTGGCAAGGGCCTCTCGGAACGTCTCACTTTGGGAGTTATTTTTTTGTTTTTTGTTCACCCTTCTTTTTTAAAAAAAATAAATTTATTGGTGTGATATTGGTTGATACCATCATATAGATTTCAGGAGGGGGTTTCTATGTCACAAGAGCTGTATGTTGCACAGTGTGCTTACCACCCACCGTCCGATCTTCTCCTGTCACCATACATTAGGACCCCACCCCGGGAGTTGTGTCGATGAGGGTTGTCTGAACATAGTTGAAGCTCATTGACTTATAATAGTTGCAAGCTCCTGTGTGACTTGGTCCCTGTGGACAACACCTTTAGTCAACTCATATTTATTAAGCACCTACTATATGCCCGGCCCTTGGGATTCAGCAGGCAACACAGCCCCTCCGGTGCCAGTCCACCTAACACCTCTCCCCCCTGCCCCCCTTGTTCTATTCCAGGGCGATTGCCAGACGCGGGAGGAAGCAGTGGCGCTCGGCGTGGGCCTGTGCAACAACGGCTTCATGCACCACGGTAATCACCCCTTCCCCTCCGCCCGCCTCCGTCTGTCCTGCCCCTGGCCCCTGGCCCCTGCTGCGTTTCACAGGAGGGGAAACGGAGGCCCAGAGACAGCATGGCTGGGACCAGGCGGTGGTCAGAGGCGGGGGACCCTGGAAGGCCTTTTGGCTGTTCCTCCCCTGGCTTCCGCTTTGTGCTGTAACTCAGAGGTCAGCAAACTCTATGCAAAAGGGCCAGATAGGACATGCAGTTCAGGCGTCTCAGGCTGCACAGCCCCTGTCACAGCTCAGCTCGGCATTGCAGCCTAAAGGACGCCGGGCGATGTGTAAGCAAACGGGCGCAGCTGGGTGCCAGGGAACCTTCGCTGTGGCCACAGTCTTCACTCTTGCTCACCCTCAGCAGGTTTGGACCTTGGTCATGAGATGCATATCCTTTGCCTGTGTATGGGTTTCCCAGCCTTTTCTGGTTGATTTGTTAGAGTGTTTTTTTTTATTTTATTTTTTACATATTTTATTGTAGATAGTTATTCCTTATCTTATCAGCTTTTAGACAGTACAGTGCCTTTTGGAGAAGGGAATTTCTTGTCCCTTCTGCAGGGGGAGAGAGAGATATGCCACTCTCAGGAAAGGTCACCCAGCCCCTCCCCAGCCTTGTAGCCTGCAGCCCTGCTTTCAGGCCTGACTCCGCTGACTCCCAATAAGCCCAGGTCCCTCTCTAGGCCTCAGTTTCCCCATCTTTCTGCTGGAGGCCTTGCTGTCCCCTCTCCTCTGAGCTCAGCAGTCCCATAGCTCTGGGGTTGGCACCCACTCCCCAATTGCCCGTTTCCCCAGCTGCGAGTGAGGGCAGGTTGGGCCCAGTCCGGGCAGCCTCAGCCATTCCCGTGCACTGGCCCCGTCTCATCAAAACCCCTCATTCCCAGAAGCCGCTCTGTTCCCCGGGGGGCTCTCTGACAGCTCCGTCCCTCCTGCCAATCAGCTGGGCAGAACCTCTCATTTGTGGGTGAGGGTAATTAGGGGTCCACCCCAGCTGCTATTCTGGGAAGGCTGCTGGCTGAGGACATTCGTGTGTGTGCGTGTGTGTGTGTGTGTGGGGGGGGATGTGGGGGAGGTGGGTTGGGGAGTGACTCCCAGGCAATACCAACACTCCCAACGCCCCTCAGGGAGAGAAATTGCAGGGTGCGGCCCCTGCTCCCCTGTCCCCTGCCACGAACTCAAAAACAGGCTAAAATAGGAAAGAGCCAAATCCTAGGTTTGTGGCTGCTGCAAAGTGCAGGTTGGGGTGCAGAGCAGAGGGTGAGGTGGGGCCTGCGTGGCGCCTCGAGGCATCTGACCTGAGCTCAGGGGACCCTGAGTTGTCCTCAGGGAGGGACCCGAGAGTCTGGTGGTCCAGCTCTCACTTCAGGCACATGCGGGGAAACTGAGGCTCGCCCTGAATCCTCACAGCCACGTCGGGAAGTTGGTGCTGTTACTACCCCCGTACGAGAGGAAACGGAGGCTCAGCGAGGCCAAAGGGAGATGAAGTTGGGAAGGGGCTGAGCCGGGATTTGAACCTGGGCCTGGGCCCCTCTCAAAGGCAGGCCAGCCGCCGCCGCTGAAAGATGGCCGTGGTGATACCGCACCTTGCTGAGCTCCTGCACTCGGAGTCCAGCTGTGTCCCCGAGCATTTCATCAGAGACACAACGTCATGCCGCTTCTTCTTCCCGCATGTTTACAGTGGGGGGAAGCCAGCCAGCCCCCTGGGGCCTGGCTCCCGAGCTCTGGGGAGAGCAGTAATTTGTGTGTCTGCTCTCTCCAGAGGGAAGAGGGGTGGCCTGAGAAGGAAGCTCACAAACAGCCAGACATCCGGGAAAGGGAGGAGGAGGAAGGGAAGGCTGCCTGCTGCTTCTCTTCAGTTGCCACACTTGCGGGCAGCCCCTGTCTTCAGGGGTGGCGGGGACCTGGAGAAGCGAAGGCAGGGGTTTTTCCTTCTCTCAGGGGCCTGCCTTCCTGCAGCAGCCTTGACCGACCGGAGCTCTGGTGCACCCCCTTCATGTGATGTGTCCCTGCCTCCCTCCAGCAGGCGAGGCTGGGCGGCGTGGTGAACAGGAGGAGCTCTGAGACCTCGGTCAGTGCAGGCAGCTTCCCTGGCCTTCGTCTACCCAATGTCGTAGGGGTGCAGCACAGCCTTCCTGCCTGAGGAGTAAGGGAACCTGAGCCGCCGTCCAGGGGGCCCTGGCACGAGGGGGCGCTTAGCAAAACTGTAATTCACTGGGACCAGCTCGCCTACTGGTGGTTCCCGGTTGTTTTTATTCATTTTCCTGGCTTGTCTTAGCACAGAGGCCAGAAGCCTTTTCCTGCAAAGGCCCAGCTAGTCAGTGCGTTAGGCTCTGTGGGCCACGCAGACTCTTGCCATGATTTACTTCGGTTGTCGGGACACAAAAGCAGCCCCAGACGATGCGTGGGGAAAAGGGGCGTGGCTGTGTTCCAAGGACACCGGGTCTGTGGGAGGAGGCCGAGGGCTGGGCCTGGCCCGCAGGCGCTGAGATGGGCGGTCCCCGGTCCGAGGGGTCTCCCTGGGGCCTCTTCCTGGTCATTCCTGAAGGGGAGCTCCTGCTCCCGTAGTTGATGCGCTTTTGGGCTCACCCCTCTGTTACTTTCCCATTCATAGCCTTTGCCCTTCATCTGTGAGTTTCCCAGCCTCTTCTGGTTGACTTGTAGGCGTTTCCTGAATATTCCAGATAGTTATTCCTTGTTGGCTTTAGACATGGCGGAGCTTTTTGCATCTGCTGTCTGCCTGTGGCCTTCTTGTTGAAAGGAAGTTATAGGGCTTTTTGGAAGGTTTGAACCTGTATCCCCTTTCCACCTTGGACAAAGATATTCTCCTGCATTTTGTTAGGTGAGTTTTAGTTTTCCTGTTCATATGTAGGTCTTCAATCCATCAGGAGTTTATTGTGGTATAAGTGTGAGTAGGGATCCCATTTTATTCCCCCCCCCCCCCCCCCCCGCCAATGGGTTGCCTGCACCATCTGGAATTCTTCACGTGATCATCATCACATACTAAGTTCCCGTAAACACACGGCCCTCTTCTGTGATTTCCGTTCTCTCCCACAGGTTCTTCCTCTGTTTCTGCGGTAGTTCCACACTGTCTGGTTACTGTGGCTTTGCAGTATGTCTTTATTATAGCAGGTGGGGCAAGTTCAGATTTTTCAAGGGACGCCAGAAAGCCAGACTTTCATGTGAAAGATCCTAATGCGTTAGTGTCGGCACGTGATTCCATTGAGTAAAACACGGTGCCGGCCAAACCAAGCTTATCCCGGGGCTGCTTCCGGCCCGAGGCTGCCAGCTGGCCCGCGGCTGAGACCTTCCCGTGTGCGCCTGACCACGTGCCTGTGTCTGTGGGTTTGCAGTGCTGGAGAAGAGCGAGTTCAAGGATGAGTCGCAGTACTTCCGCTTCCACGCGGACGAGGAGATGGAGGGGACCAGCAGCAAGAACAAGCAGCTTCGCAACGACTTCAAGCTGGTGGAGAACATTCTGGCCAAGCGCCTGCTGGTAGGAGCAGAGCTGAGCTGCTGCGTCTCCCTTCCCAGACCCTCCTTCCGACAGGGCTTCACCTGTGGCTGGAAGACCTTCAGATGTGGGCTCAGCCTGGAGCACCAGGAGCATGGGTGATTCTAGGTGGCGGCTGGCAAAGCTGCCAGGAGGCCCGCTCACCACTGGCCAGGACTGCCTTCCTCACAAAGGGGATCGGGCTTACGGGGCTGTCCTGCTTTTCCTTCCCACCCCCCCTTGTCCACCCTGCATCCTCGCATTTGCAGAGAGGATGGCCTCCTGAGATGACTCACCCTGCAGAACCAAAGCCTTAGGTTTTCTGGGCTGGCACCCTGTCCGCCCAGTTGCTGTCCATGCCCTTGCATAAATAAGGTAGAACATTTATTTGAAAACCCTAACACGTTAGAGTGTTGGCAGCCTGTTGCGATAGTTTGCCTGCCAAGCCCACTAGGTCCTGTTGCTCTGTCTACTGCGAGCAGCAGCCTTCACTCAATGCCTGCCCTCCCTCCATCTTCCTCCCCGTGTCTCTTGAGCAATCGGGAGATAGCTCAAGAGGTTAGATCTCTTGCCGCAGCCAGAGTTGGGGCCAAATTCTGAATAATATGAAGACAGCCCCATTAACTTCTCTCCTGCAGTACTTCTCGGGTAGCTGGACATCTTTAGATTTAGTTTGTTCATTAGGCCAGTACATTAAAAAAAAAAAAAAAGCTTTTATTGATTTCAGAGAGAGAGAGGAAGGGAGAGGGAGAGAGAGATAGAAACATCATTGATGAGAGAGAATTATTGATCTGCTGCCTCCTGCATGCTCCTCAATGGGAATCAAGCCTGTAACCTGGACCTGTGCTCTTATTATGAATTGAACTGTGACCTCCTGGTTCATAGGTTGATGCTCAGCCGCTGAGCTACACGGGCCAGGCTAGACCAGTGCATTTTAATCGAGCACCTGCAGCATGCCAGCAGGTGGAGAGACAGTGGTGCATGACTGAGAGACTGCCCTTAGGTTGGGAGGAGAAGGGAGACAGGCGATGAAAAGTAAACAAATACGAAATGAGCACCAGATCGAGGTACGAACGAGGCGGTGTGTCTTCACAGATAGGTGTTGAGCACCTACTGTGTGTTGCGGGTGCTGTTTATTCTGTTGCTATACTCCCCACCCCCATGTAGATCTGGGGCCTGAGGAGCCCGTAGGATCATAGGAGCCGTGTGGGGCCAAGGCAGGGCTGGCTCCAGGATTCCCTCCCAACTCCACCACCTCACCGGGTCTCTCCGACTCCGCGCCCACAGATCCTGCCCCAAGAGGAAGACTACGGCTTCGACATCGAGGAGAGGAACAAGGCTGTGGTGGTGAAGTCGGTCCAGAGGGGCTCGCTGGCCGAGGTGAGGCCTCTCGGAGGGGCTGTGTGGGTAGGAGAGTGAGGCGTCTCTCTACACATTCCTTGAGGCAGGCAGCAAACCCTGGAATGCCCCTCCTCGCTCACTCGCTCATTGTCCGCGTGGGGAAACTGAGTTCAGAGTTTAAGTCATCTTGTCGGCCTTCGCCTGGAGCTAGGACAGCCCCTCTGTGTGTGCGCGACTGGCTCCCTCTGCTGGTCAGATGGGGAGGTGCAAGGAAGAGTTTGTGAATCAGCTGTTATAAGGAAAAAACTACGTATTTTCTGGCGTATAAGACGACTTTTGAAACGAAAAAAAGTCTACCGAAAATCGGGGGCAAAAGACAAAAACTGCACAAAAATTACCTGCAGATCTTGACGGCAAATTAAGTCTTTTCTTTAAAGTGGGGGGTAGTCTTATACAGCGAATATAGGCCTAAACCTGTTCTAACTGAAAAATTAGGGGGTCGTGTTATACACCGGAAAATACGGTAACCCTCCATGGCCTGCATAAGACGTCATGGACATAAGGTCTACAAGGAGGAAGAAGAGTGAGTCTGTGGCAGGCCAGAACTTCAGCCCCAGGTCCTCGCAGCTGCTCCTTGGGGTGTGCAGCTGGGTAGGCAGAGGCACCTGTCATGTTGTCCAGGCACCTGCTTGCGTCCCTGTAGTGATTAGGAATGCGTTTGGCTGCAAGTAGCCACCTGCCCGCCCCACAGTGGCTGGAGCCATAGGACTTGATCTAAGTCAGTGGTCGGCAAACGGCAGCTCGCGAGCCACATGTGGCTCGTGAGCCGCGGTTTGCCCCTTTGCTGACTAATGAGTTTGCCGACCACTGATGTAAGTGGTTAGAAGGAGGTGGTTGCGAGACTTGGTTCGGGGTCAACATTTCTGACTCTGGTCACAGGAGGCTGCCCCTGTCCTCATACGGCAGGGTGGGAAGCAGCAGTTTCTCCTCGAGGGAAAACGTCTTTTCTGCTAATGCCTCCTGCCGGCTTTCCTTCCTAGCACCTTGGCCAGAGCCAGTCTCACCAGCCTGCAGAGCGGAGGGACTGCTTACCACACAGGGGGACTGGTGGCCCTGGGGGGACTGGTGGCCCTGATCGTGCTTAGACCCTGGGGCTGGGGCTGTGAGGAGAACAGGAAACTAGCAACCTGGTGTGCGTGTCTCCCCGCCAAGATGGCCGGCCTGCAGGTGGGGAGGAAGATCTATTCCATCAACGAGGACCTGGTGTTCCTGCGGCCCTTCGCAGAGGTGGAGTCCATCCTCAACCAGTCCTTCTGCTCCCGCCGCCCCGTGCGCCTCCTGGTGGCCACCAAGGCCAAAGAGTGAGTGTCCCCAGGGGCCAGGGGCCCACCAACCTTCCTCTCAGGCTGAGGAGGTGCCTGAGTGCTGGGGATGGTGGGGGCCGAGCCTTCCTGGACCCCTGAGGGTGGGGCTCATCCTGCAGGTACACGACCCGAGGCTGCTGCCTCCAGTCATTGGGCGGGTGTTGATCGTGTGCCTGCTGTGCCTAGGGGGGGCTTCAGGCTCTGGGGATCCAGCCCCGTCTGGATGGGTACATCTACCGCTCATAGATCTAGTCTGGGTGGAGGGTAGAGCAGGAGACAGACCGACACAAACAGGGGAGAAGTGAGAGGCATACTGAGCCAGCTGATAGTGAGTGTGGGCTGACCCATACATAAAGCCGGGAAAGAAGGTGGGCGGTGTGGAGGGATGGTGGTTAGGGTGCCGCCGAGCACCGAGGGGAAGCCCTGAAGGAGGTAAGGAGGCAGTCAGGGGACTTGTGGGGGAAGAGGGCTCCAGGAAGAGAAAACAGCCCATGCAAAGGCCCGGGAGGAGCCTGGCTGGTGTGTTTGAGGAACAGTGAGGAAGCTGATGTGCTGGAGCAGAGCAAGCGAGAGGGAGGGAGGGATGGGGGATGAGGTCGGCCAGACAATGGGGCCTTGTGTCCATAGTAATGGCCATGGAGCCACTTGGAGGCTCAGAGAAAAGGCGAGAGAGGCATGATCTGATGTGGGTTCTGGCGGAGTCCCGCTGGCTGCAGGTGAAGGCCAGATGGTGGGGGGCAGAGGTGGAAGTGGGGAGCCGTGGTGAGGAGGCCGCTGGACCAGCCTGTGTGGCAGCAGGGGTGCGGTGGGAAGTGGTTAGATACCAGATATAGGTGCAGGGAGAAGCGTTTTCTATTTTAAAAATTGTGCACTTGGTTTCCACGTCTCCCTTCTATTTAAGGCAGATGCTCCCCGGTTTTCTGTTGACAGGCGGGAGGGAAAGTTTTAATAGGATCATTTCCGAGTAGAAAGGCAAGCCAATTTAGGGAAAATGATTGATTGGATGGCTGGAATGTGGAAGGGGCAGAAATCACCAAGTGGAATGAACCCGTCTTAAGTCTGGCAACACCTGCGCTTTATGTGGCTGGTGGGGATGGGAGGGATGGCCCTGGAGGCCATGGGGGGGGGCATGCCCTCGGGGAAGCAGGCAGCCCACCGCACAGTCCTGAGCAGGGGCCACCTGCTTGACTCTGGTGTTCCCCCTGCAGAACGGCCAAGACCTGGGCTCTCAAACCGTGTTCTCTAAAGGACACGTGTAGGCTTTTGTCTAGAGTCAGCGCCACGCTGTGTGGACCACGTCTCACCCTTCCACCCGTGATCGCTGCCTAAAATGTCACGGGCAGAGGTGTTGCTCTGGCCGCCCAGAGGCCTCCTCCCACCAGGAGGGAGGGAGAAGGGAGAGCGTGATCCGGGTTTGTGTGTGTGGGCTGCGGCTCCCTGGCAGGCTGTGCTCCAGATGAACTGGAGGCCCTGGTGGGGCGGGCTTCGGTTGGGCGAAGTGAGGTTTCTCTGTGTATCTGGGAGCTGGAACGCCTGGCCCGGCGAGTGTTTTGGGCTGGATTTCCCAGAAGTCCTGGAGGCGGGGCCTCCTCAGGGTGGCCCGCTGGCCCGCTGGGCTGTGAGATGCTGCTCTCCCTTACGGCCGCTTCCGCCTGCCGCAGGATCGTCAAAGTCCCGGACCATCCGGAGGCTTTGTGCTTCCAGATCCGAGGAGCTGCCCCGCCCTACGTCTATGCTGTTGGGAAAGGTGAGTGGGAGTCTGACCGACAGAGGGGAGCTCGGGAGACCCCATCTGTGTGTGTGAGGGGAGTGCAGAGTCTCCAAACCGCTACCACCAGGCCTTTGCGCACAGCACACCATCGGCACTTACGTTCTTTGCACGAGGCCAAGGCTTGCAAATGCGAACACCTATGGGGGTAAGGCAGTTACAAAGGAGTAACTGAGAGGAGGACAAGAGGGAGTGGTGAGGACTGTGGCAAGGTGGAAAATACCCACTTACTCTAAAGAGACCCGTATTCCTCGGCTCAAGCTCATTGGCAGGCAGGAGCTTACCAAAAGTCACATAGCTGGTTTGTGGCAGAGCCAGGGTTTGGACCCAAGCCCCTGGGGTCCAGGCCTTTGCTGGTCAGCCATCACCGCGTGCAGGCCCGATATTGTTTCATGTACAGACAAAGTGTGGCATTCACTTGCATTTACAGAGCCTTCCTACGAACCACACAGAACCCTGGGGTCCGAGGCCTACAGTTTGGGAATTGTGGGATACCTGAGAAAACATACATTTGGGGTCCCAAAGACCCGGGCTTGACCCTGGCTTCTCCTAGCGATGTGGCCTTGAGAGAATTCCTTTGCCTCTCTGAGCCTCTGTAATCCTGTCTACAAAATAGGGTGATCCTGGTCCCAGTATCACACAGGTTGTTGCAGGATTTTAAAGGAGATGAAGTTTTAGAGTGAAGCTCGTTGCTATTTCTCTGAGCCTCAATTTCTATTTCTGCAGAATGGGAATGCCAGTCCCTGCCCCGCCCACTGCAGTGGGTCAGAGAGAGGCCTCAGGGTGGGAGGGATGGAGGTGCAGTGTTTGGGGGTAGTGGAGGACAGACTTCATCTGGATTCTTGCCTGCACGGCTCAGGCCCTCCGCCTGGCATTCAAGCCTCAAGCATTCCTGTGTCCTTCAGGGTCCGAGGCTGCGGCCGCAGGGCTCTGTGCTGGCCAGTGTATCCTGAAGGTCAATGGCAACAACGTGATGAACGATAACGCCCCAGAGGTCCTGGAGCACTTCCAGGCGTTCCGGACCCGCCGGGAAGAGGCCCTGGTGAGCCACCCAAGGGGGTCAGGGGAGCCCTGCTCGGTGAGGGGGCGGGCTGAGAGCCCCCTTTCTCTGGAAGAAAGTCTGAAGGCGTCATGGTGTTTGGGGTCAGGTAGGGCTGGTGGGACTGAGCTGAGGTGAGGCCCTCTGCCCTCTCTGCCTCCCTAGATTGGAGGAGCTGGGCTGTACCACCTCACAGCCTCAGTTTTTGCAGCTGTGAATGGGTGCGATGAGACCCTCTTTTCTTTTTCTTTTTAAATATATTTTATTGATTTTTTATAAAGAGAAAAGGAGAGCAATAGAGAGCTAGAAACATCGATGAGAGAGAATCATCAATCAGCTGCCTCCTGCACACCTCCTACTGGAGATGTACCTGCAACCAATGTACATGCCCTTGACCAGAATTGAACCTGGGACCCTTCAGTCCGCAGGCTGATGCTCTACCCACTGAGCCAAACTGATTTTGGCAAGACCTCTTTTCTTACTACGAAGGCATGTTGGGCAAATGCTTATGTTGATGGTGAAAATGGATGTTATGCTTGGGTTAGGAGCTGGGGTTCTGTGGAAGGTGGTGCTTATTTATCGGGTTATCTGAGTGTTTATTGAGCACCTGCTGTGTGCCTGGCACTTTCCTAGGCCCTGGGGCTACAGGAGAGACACCCATGGATCCGCCGTGTATTTTCAAAGGCTCCCCGCCCCTGGCATCTGTGCGGAGTATAGACTAGAGAGAGTGAGGGCTGAGGGTGCCTGGAAGTCCCTCAGGAAGGTCCCAGGGTGAAGCCTTGGGGCCTCTCCAGAGGAGGTGTCGCCGCCAGGCTTTGCCCGTCCCCTCCTCCCCGGCTCCCAGCGCCAAGGCTGCCCCCCTTGCTCTGCTCTCTCACAGGGTCTGTACCAGTGGATCTACCACACCCACGAGGATGCTCAGCAGGCCCGAGCCAGCCAGGAGACCCCAGGCGAGGACACCGGTGGTGAAGGGGCCCGGGAGGAAGACCAGCCCGACTCAGGTAACGGGACCGGTGGGCAGTGAGACAGAGACTCCCGTGGGGAGCCGGGTCCCCTTCGGTGTCCTCCCTCCCTTGTGAGCCCATCTGGGTGCCATCCGTTCTGGGTTCGTGTCTGGTCACTGCTCTGGCAAAGCACCGCCACCCCGGGGGCTTCACACAGCACACACTCCTCCTCCTGCAGTTCCGGAGGCCGGAGTCTGAGAGGAGGCTCGCGGGGCCAGAGCCGAGGTGTCAGCAGGGTTGCATTCTCTTTGCAACTCGAGGGGAGCACTGATTTACCTGCCGGTTCCAGCTTCCAGAAGCTGCCTGTGTTCCCTGAGCCATGGCCCCCTTCTGTCATATGCGGAGCCAGCAATGCTGGCCCGAGTCCTTCTCTCCTTGCCGCCTCTCTAACCCCGCCTCCTCTGCTTCCATCTTCCCCACTTGAGAGCCCTTGTGATTACACTGGTGGACCTGACTCATCCAGGGTCACCTCATTGTAAAGCTGTCTGCTGGGAACCTTAATTCCACCTGCAACCGTCGTTTCCCCTTGTCACGTGAGAGCGTGCAGTCCAGGGATGAAGATGCGGCTGTCTTCGGGGCCATTATTCTGCCTACTACGGGCTCCCACATTTATTTCCCTGGTGCAGCCTCAACCCTGAACTCCAGGCCTGTCTTACTATCTCCTCGCCCCGCCCCCTCCGGTATCTAACAGGCACCGCGGACTCCGCCTGGTCAAAATGGACACTCCTGAGCTTCCCCCGAGAGTCCCATCTTCATCCTTCAGATCCATAGGTCCTAGATCTTGGAGTCCCCTCAGCTGTTCTCTTTCTTCTGTGTCCCTCGGACCTTAATTCCAGAAGCGCACTCTGTTGCCTCTGTGTTCCTCATGCATCTCACCACCTCCGTTGCTGCCTGGTCCAAGCCACCATACTGTCTCACCAAGACGATTGTGGTAGCCTGCTCACTGTCTTCCCTGTCCCACCTCACCTCTCCTCTTTAGGGCTGCTCTAAAAAAAACAACCCACAAACTAACAAACAAACAAAAAACAGAACAAAACATTCCAATGACTCCCACCCTGACTCAGGGCAAAGACCAAGTCCTTATCATGGTCTTCAGCCTCACCTCCCATCACTTTCCTATTTGCCCCCTCTATTTCATCCACTCCACCACCAAATGTACTCCTACCCCAGGACCTTTGCACTTGCAGTTCCCTCCGCCTGGAATGCTCTCTTTCTGAGTCCTTCTTATCCCACTCACCTCTCCTCTCAGATGTTACCTCCTCAGGGTGCCCTTGTGTCCCAGAGTCTCCTTATTCTATTCTGTTTATGTATTAGTTGGCTGTATATCATGCAGTGCCTTCTTTGTTTTCTAGATATGCCACTCCCTAGCTGTGTGGCCTCTGAGGAGTCAGGTAGCCCCCTCAGGGCCCATGTTAACTGGGACTGTATCTGGGCTGCATGACATTAACTCAGGAAACGGAAAAGTCTGGGTAGGGTCATGTGAGCTTCAGATCCGGCTCGATCCAGGGCTTTATGGAGTCTCATAAGGAGTCTCTTTCTCTCTAGTTTTCGGCTCTGCTCCCTCGGTGTTGGTTTTCCCTTTACCTGCTGTATTATCCATGTGGTGGCTCTGGCAACTTGGAATCCAGTTGAAAAGAGAATGTCTCCAGCTCTTTGTAGATCAAAAAAAAAAAAAAAAAAAAAAAAAAATCCCAGACTTGACTCTCATTGGCCCAGCTTGGGTCACATGCTCATTTGTCAGCCAATCACTGTGAACAGAGGAAATCTTCAGCTTGTGCCTTTGGTGAATGATGCAAATGTGGCAGGGTAGGGGTGGGAGGGATCTCTTCTAAGCCACCTAGACTGGGAATAGGGCACACGGGTTGATTTCTAGCGGGACAATGCAGGACAAGGTGTGAAGAGTAGTAGGCTGACAAAATCGAACAGAGCTGCAGCACAGACTTCAGGTCCCCATCTGTCTGACGGGAGCTGTCCGCGGTGCAGGGCCAGGGGGCTGGCTGGCTGCGGGGTGGAGCCCCCTCTTCAGGGCTGATGGTCCTTTCGGCTTCCAGCCTTCCCTCTGCTGTCCATGGGTGCCCAGCTGAGCCTGCAGGAGGACAGCCCCGTGGTGAGCCTGAACGTGGACAACGTGCACCTGGAGCACGGCGTGGTGTACGAGTACGTGAGCACCGCGGGCATCAAGTGCCACGTGCTGGAGAAGATCGTGGAGCCCCGCGGCTGCTTCGGCCTCACCGCCAAGGTCTCGTTGGGCACTGCCCTGGGGGTGGGGCAGCCTGATCCCCATTTCCTCCGAGTCAGCCCGGAGTCCTGAATTCTAGTCTCTGCCCCAGGGCATGGGATTTAGGAGAGTGACTTAACCTCTTTAGCCTCAGTTCTCCAATCTGCAAAATGGGCCAGTAATAGCCCTGACGTCCTGGGGGTGTTGTGAGGCATACAGGAATCTCTGTAGATAAACTGCTAACGGCCCTGCTTGGGGCAGAGTGTGTGCTCAGGAGTTCATCTTCCTGCAGATCCTCGAGGCCTTTGCTGCCGATGACAGTGTGTTCGTGCAGAACTGTGGGCGGCTTATGGCCCTGAGCAACAACATCAGGACCATGTCCCATTTTGAGTTTCGTCAGATCTGCGACATCAAGCTGGAGAGCATTGGCCAGAGGATTGCCTGCTATCAGGAGGTACCTTTACCCTCAGCCTGGGACATTTTGGCTATAAATGTTAAAACCCACCACTAGTTAGATGGGAGGACATATTGGCTTATATTTCTGAAAAGTCGAGAGGCGGACTTCAGGCATGGTTGTATCCAGGTGCTCAAGCAGATATCACTGTAAGACCATGGCCTCTCTCCTTCTCTTGACTTTATTTTTCCACATTGGCTTTGCTGCCAGGCAGGCCTTTCTCATGTGGTGACAAGATGGTCCCCAATAGCTATAACCTAAACAACCCCAGTAGAAAAGGGATTGAGAGCTTCTATTGGGTTGGCGTGGGCATCATGCCTAGCTCTGTATCAAGCATGGAGAGGCAGCCTTCCCTGAACCTCATGGACTCTGGGTTAGGGAGAGATGGCTTTAACTCATGTGTGCAGCCAAAATGGAGGAAACGAAGGTGAGTAGGTACTCAGAGGATCCAGATTTCTCCATACTTACCCTGAAATCTGGATCCAGTGAAAGGCAGTGTAGAGGGATCCACTTATCCATTGGGGCTGTTTGTTTTGTCCAGTCTGGCACGTCTGGCCCAGACCAGGATAAAGTGGGAACTGTGGGGAGACCAGAATTCCCAGGGTCCTGCAGCACGACCTCATGTGCGCCCCCCCCCCACCCCGTCAGTTTGCAGCCCAGCTGAAGAGCAGGATCAGCCCACCCTTCAAACAAGCACCCCTGGAGCCCCATTCGCTGTGTGGGCTGGACTTCTGCCCCACCAACTGCCACATCAACGTCATGGAGGTGTCCTACCCCAAGACCACGCCCTCCATCGGCCGGTCCTTCAGCATCCGCTTTGGTCGCAAGCCCTCCCTCATTGGCCTCGACCCAGAGCAAGGTAACTGCATGTGTCCGTTAGAAATGGCGTTTGGATCTCACACGACAGACACTTAAACAGAAACATGTCTGGAGGTCAGCGGTCCAGGGCTGGAATGGTGGCTTCACAGTCATCAAGGATCTAGGCTCCGATCTTCCTACACCACCATCTCTATGGTGCAGAGGTGGCTTTCATCCTGAAGGATGCCTCGTGGTATAGAATGGCTGCTAGAGTATCAGCCATCACGTCTGCATTCCAGGCACGAAAAGATCACAGTAGTTAAAGGCATATTAGCACTAAACCACAACTTTTGTCTTGAAGCAATCTAGTGGATTAAAATAATAGTATTTAAAAGGGGAAATTCTCATATTTATTGGGATCCTAGAAATGGCTTATATACCTCTCGCAAAGGGGGTTGTGGGTGTCAGGGCATGGTTTCTAAGTGAGCTCTCCCTTTATCCATGCAGGCCACCTGAACCCTATGTCCTACACCCAGCACTGCATCACCACCATGGCTGCCCCATCCTGGAAGTGCCTGCCCGCTATGGATGGGGACCCTCAATGCCAAAGTCCCCGTGACAGTGGCTTTGGGCCAGCCAATGGGGCCCTGGGCCCAGAGGACCGGGGTCTGAGCTTTCTCCTCAAGCAGGAGGACCGGGAGATCCAGGACGCCTACCTGCAGCTCTTCACCAAACTGGATGTAGCCCTGAAGGAGATGAAACAGTATGTCACCCAGATCAACAGGTGAGCCCTGACTCC